GTCAACTAGATCGGCTTCCTCCTGCCTCTCCCAGTTGACTTTTGAGTCGACTCAAAAGTCAACTAGATCGGCTTCCTCCTGCCTCTCCCAGTTGAATTTTGAGTCGACTCAGAAGTCAACTAGATCGGCTTCCTCCTGCCTCTCCCAGTTGAATTTTGAGTCGACTCAGAAGTCAACTAGATCGGCTTCCTCCTGCCTCTCCCAGTTGACTTTTGAGTCGACTCAAAAGTCAACTAGATCGGCTTCCTCCTGCCTCTCCCAGTTGACTTTTGAGTCGACTCAAAAGTCAACTAGATCGGCTTCCTCCTGCCTCTCCCAGTTGACTTTTGAGTCGACTCAAAAGTCAACTAGATCGGCTTCCTCCTGCCTCTCCCAGTTGACTTTTGAGTCGACTCAAAAGTCAACTAGATCGGCTTCCTCCTGCCTCTCCCAGTTGACTTTTGAGTCGACTCAAAAGTCAACTAGATCGGCTTCCTCCTGCCTCTCCCAGTTGAATTTTGAGTCGACTCAGAAGTCAACTAGATCGGCTTCCTCCTGCCTCTCCCAGTTGACTTTTGAGTCGACTCAAAAGTCAACTAGATCGGCTTCCTCCTGCCTCTCCCAGTTGACTTTTGAGTCGACTCAAAAGTCAACTAGATCGGCTTCCTCCTGCCTCTCCCAGTTGAATTTTGAGTCGACTCAGAAGTCAACTAGATCGGCTTCCTCCTGCCTCTCCCAGTTGAATTTTGAGTCGACTCAGAAGTCAACTAGATCGGCTTCCTCCTGCCTCTCCCAGTTGACTTTTGAGTCGACTCAAAAGTCAACTAGATCGGCTTCCTCCTGCCTCTCCCAGTTGACTTTTGATTCGACTCAGAAGTCAACTAGATCGGCTTCCTCCTGCCTCTCCCAGTTGAATTTTGAGTCGACTCAGAAGTCAACTAGATCGGCTTCCTCCTGCCTCTCCCAGTTGAATTTTGAGTCGACTCAGAAGTCAACTAGATCGGCTTCCTCCTGCCTCTCCCAGTTGACTTTTGAGTCGACTCAAAAGTCAACTAGATCGGCTTCCTCCTGCCTCTCCCATGCGGATATTATCCTTGGGAACCCCTTCAACGCTGGTCCCAAACAGTACTTTCACGATTTAAACATCTCCCTCTTCCTTCGTGGCCTCTACCTGTCCCCATCAGGAGCAACAGGCGGAGGACAGAGCCCTCTGGTGGGACACCATGCAACCAGTGACCTTACTGCTCCTTCCTCCCCCGCGTGCCCCCCAACCGTCGCCTCGGCCTGTCCCCATCAGGTGTGCAACAGGGGGGGGACAGAGCCCTCTGGTGGGACACCATGCAACCACATAGCTGACTGCTCCTTTTCAGTTCCTTTCTGCTCCCCATCTCGCCCCTTCTCAACGTCCCCTACCTGCCCCTTACCTGCCCCTTACCCGCCCCTTACCTGTCCCTATCAGGTGCAGCAGGCTGAAGAAAGAGCTTTGTGGTGGCGCCATGCAACCGTTGGGCTGCAACCCCTGCCCTACCCCAATTTCCCCTACCTTCCTCCACCTTGTCTCAACTTGCCGATTTCCTAACCCGCGCCTGACCCCGTCAGGTGCAGCAACCGGAAGAAAGAGCCCTGTGGTGGCGCCATGCAACCATCGAGCTCCCTTTACCCCTTTCCACTCCCCATATCGCCCTTTCTGATTGCCCCTCTTCCTCCCCTTCTCCTGACCCGCGTCTGTCCCCATCAGGTGCAGCAGGCGGAGGAGAGAGACCTGTGGTGGTGCGTATTGCAACCATAGAGCTGACTGCTCCCTCTCCTTGCCTTTTTCAATGCCCTCCACATCCCCCTTCCTTGCCCCCGACACTCCTTTTCTCTGCTCCCCCCTACCTGACCCCATCAGGTGCAGCAGGCGGAAGAGAGAGCCCTCTGGTGGCGCCATGCAGCCATTGAACTCGCCTCCCGCATACTGCACTGCACCGCTCTGCAGCCCTCTGCGCCCCAATCAGTGTTAACCAAAAGCAGCAGTGATGACGTCATGTCTGATTTGCTTTGCAACGAGGGGAATGATAGCGGTTCAGGAGGAGGATCGGCAGCAGCAGCAGAGGCACCACCAGCGCCAGAAGCAGCAGGTCTTGTTGAAGGCCAGAGCTGCAGCAGCAGCAACGGCGCTGGTGGGTTGATTCCGTGTGACTCTACCGAGGGAAGGAGTGTGGCGGTTTCGAGTGCGCTGCTGCCCATTGCTTCTATCGCCACTGCTGTTTCAGCGGCAGCAGCGCTGGCAGATTCACCGGAAGCACAGCTGCTGCAGGCTGCAAGGGAGGCGTTGAATAAAGCTCTCTGTTTCGAGAATGAATGATCGGTCTGCTGTAGCCTGCCCCTTGGTTTCAATGGCAGCAGCCGTGTTGGCAGATTTACGGAAGCACAGCTGCTGCAGGCTGCAAGGGGAGGCGCTGAATAGGGCGCTGTGTTTCGAGAATGAATGACTGGCCTGCTGCAGCCTCCCTCTTGTTACGCCAACAGCAGCACTGGCAGACTCACCGGAAGCACAGCTGCTGCAGGCTGCAAGGGAGGCGCTGAATAAAGCTCTCTGTTTCGAGAATGAATGATCGGTCTGCTGTAGCCTGCCCCTTGGTTCCAATGGCAGCAGCCGTGTTGGCAGATTTACGGAAGCACAGCTGCTGCAGGCTGCAAGAGAGGCGTTGAATAAAGCTCTCTGTTTCGAGAATGAATGATTGTTTTGATATGCCTCAAAGCATGCTGGCAGATTCATCGGAAGCACGGCTGCTGCAGGCCACAATAGAGGCACCGAATAAGGCGCTGTGCTTTGAGATTAAATGACTGGCCTATCGGCCCCCTGTTACGGGGACACGTGGAAATATTACGGTATGAATTTTGCACGGTTTTGCTGTAGTACGGTACCTGTTTTAAAAATGGTAATTTTGACCTGTTGTTGTAGTGCTGTTCTTTTCCTGACACAGTATGATCTCTCCATGTCTGTATGCCACTTGGTAACTTGGAAACTGGTAGCATGCTATTGCAAGCAATGAACGAATGGGGTAGAATGAGAGTGAATGAGGGAACAAGAGAGTGTCCGAGTTATGTTATTATAACTGCATACAAGTCTAGCTATAAGTATAATGGTGTTACATTTCTGTTAGGTGGTGCACCTCTTGGTTGTTCCTTGTATAACTCTCTCGTCACTTCTCAATGTCAGCCCTCTTTTGGCCAACTCTCTCTCCTAAACCCTAGTCTCTACTAGCTACTATTTTAACATGCTATCAGAGCCTATGACGGTAGAAGGACCTCGTTTCTCTTAAAGATAATGGGCCCGCCTATACTAAAGCGCGAAATGCGCCATTTCTTTTCCGTCCGCCCGTCCGCGCGCGCTCTGCCCTGCCCGTCCGCACGCTCGTTTCCCCCTGTTCCCGTCGCCCGCGGCCCCCCGTTCCCGTCGCCCGCGGCCCCCCCCCCCCCCCGGTTCCCGTCGCCCGCGGCCCCCCCGTTCCCGTCGCCCGCGGCCCCCCGTTCCCGTCGCCCGCGGCCCCCCCGTTCCCGTCGCCCGCGGCCCCCCGTTCCCGTCGCCCGCGGCCCCCCGTTCCCGTCGCCCGCGGCCCCCCGTTCCCGTCGCCCGCGGCCCCCCGTTCCCGTCGCCCGCGGCCCCCCGTTCCCGTCGCCCGCGGCCCCCGTTTCGTCGCCCCGCGCCCCCCTTTCGTCGCCCCGCGCGGACGCCAGCGCCACGGCCAGCCGCGAGCGCCAGCGCGGCCCGCCAGCGCAGACGCCAGCGCAGCCGCCAGCCGCCAGCGCCTGCGCCACCATCAGCGCCAGCAGCAGCTACCGCCGCCCCACCCCCCCGCCCTCCCTTCCGCGGCTTCCGTAGTGGAGGGGGGGGGGAAGGGAAAAGGGGAGATGTGGGGGCGGCGGGTGTGAGCCTCCAGCAATCCGTCTCTCCCCTCTCTCTTCCTCTTTTCCTGCAGCACTAGTTGCTGTAGGAGAAAGGGGGGGGGGGGGGATGAGAGATGGTAAGGGAGGGTAAGAGAGAGCGGTGAAACCAGTAGCCACGCATCTGCAGCTGCCGTCCACTGCTACTGTGGCACCTACTTCTGCAGCCCCTGACGCTTCTCCCTCTACGTTCGTCTTCTTTGCTGTTGAGCTGCAAACTAAGTGCGCCACAGCACATCGCCTTCTTTGCTGTTGAGCTGCAAACTAAGCGCGCCACAGCACATCGTCTTCGTTCTCTCTTTCTTGCCTCAGGGCTTGCTGCAGCTGTCTCTGCCACCACTGCACTGGTTGTCACTGCTCTTGCGTTCTGCTGCTTTGGTCTGCTCTGTGTACCCCTGCAGGTTGTGTTCTACACTTTGCTATTCCTGTACGCAGTTAAGGGGGGATGTCCGAGTTATGTTATTATAACTGCATACAAGTCTAGCTATAAGTATAATGGTGTTACATTTCTGTTAGGTGGTGCACCTCTTGGTTGTTCCTTGTATAACTCTCTCGTCACTTCTCAATGTCAGCCCTCTTTTGGCCAACTCTCTCTCCTAAACCCTAGTCTCTACTAGCTACTATTTTAACAGAGAGAGCATGACAACAATGGCTCATTGTAACCAGGGCACTAAGTTCTTGTAGGTGGGTATGTGCTCCTGCTCCCTATACCCCAGGCATTCACAATATCGTTTGTTAGAAACGTCAATTACACTCCCACCCACACAAAGAAATGCAGCAGCTACCTCGTATTCTGTTTTTCTTGTTCTTTGTTACTGAACATGATAAAACTTCATAGAACCACTGTAAATAGCACTCACATGTCTACTTGGCACTCACATGCCTACTTAGCACCCACATGTCTACTGAGCAAGCACCCGCATGCCTACTTAGCAAGCACCCACATGCCTACTTAGCACCCACATGTCTACTTAGTACCCACATGTCCAGTTGTTTGTCCCCTCCCCACGAACCGTGTTACTTCAAATGCGTGATGTGACTTCTGAGTGCAACGTAGTCCTTCCTTCCAGGAAACGCACATGTGACGTCTATCATGCAAGCAGCCAAGCAAAGCCAGCAGCCATGGTGACGGCAGTGGCAATGTAGCCTGCCAAAGAGAGAAGCACAGCAACAAGCAACATTCAGCCACTCCGTTACAGCCACAAGAGGGGGAAAAAAAAAAGATCAAATCAAATCAAAGTAAAACAAAAACAGAAACAGGTGGTGTCATAAAACAGAGTAAGCGTTACTTACCGAGCTTGATTGGAGAGGCTGAAGCAGCTTTCGGGATACTATCAGTAGGCTGCACTATCACAGGGCCCTTGGTAGACACATACGTTCCATTCTTGTAATAAGTCAGGTCTCCAATAGTCGACGCCGTGCCGTCCGCGTTAGGAACAGGTTGAACCAGCTTCCCACTGGAATCGGCGTAGGTCCCATTCGGGTACACAACAGTGCCGCCAATCTTCTTACTACCGTCGGCGCCCGTACCATAGAGTACTTGGCCGTCAGGACCAGTGATAGTGCCATTAGAGTAGAGAGTGTAGCCTCCAACGGTTTGAGACCCATCCGCGTTCTTGGTGGGGGTCACAGCCTTTCCACTGGAATCATAAACGGTTCCATTGGAAAACGCCGTATACCCGCCGACGGTAATTGAGGCCTCTACAAGGCGTGCCGAGAGCATGAGAGACGCAACGGCTGCGAGGAGAAGCACGACGACGTGAAAGGGCTGTGAGACGAGACGGAGCGCCATTGCGGTAGTAGTAGTACTCCGAGTACTGAATAATAGGAAGAATGAAATACTAGCTCGGCGAACTGAATATTGGATCAGATGGGTGAGCACTAAATACTATTTCCAGTAGTACTGCACTACTCCCACTAGCCCTGTCCCCTTCCCCCCATGCTTTGCACCACTGCCCCCCCGTTCCCCGTTCCGCCGCTGCTCGCGCTCCCCATTCCGCCGTTGCTCGCATTTCGAGTCGCCGCTGCTCTCAATTTCGCGCTTCTTATTTCGCGGGCTCCTCGTTCCGCCGCTGCACGCGCTCCGTCCAACGTGGTGTACAGAGACGTTCCTCCTCTCCGTTCAGGGATCGTGAGGGTCTGTACGATTTTTAGGGATTACGATCTATCATGTGTCAGGAGGATGCAGAGCGGTCACCCTGTTAGAGCACAGACACACCCGAAACCCGATGCCTCACTGTTCTCGCGAGTGTGACAGGGTTGCACGTTTTGTGGTTTCGCAGTTCGTCCGCCAAATCAACCGTGCGACGAAATCTCCTGCGATGTGTTCGTAAAATTTCGTAGGCAGCCTCTGGTTCGGCCCGCGATCGCGGTTCGAACTACTATTGTGCCAACAATAACTCGAGTTGCAAAATGGTAACCGTCGACGAAGGCCTAACTCGTTTCATGCACGAAAACTATGATCCACGCTCCTGACCTGCCGACTTTTTACCACCGCTGCCATACTGCCCTCGAAGGCGGCTCGGGCAGGATCCTGAACGACCTCAAGTCTTGGGGTTCGTCTCGTGGAATGTTGTAGCCTATTCTCAATGTGGATAAGTTCACTTCATAAGTCCCCCCGTCTCACTTATAGCGAAAAAGAGGGTACATATACAAATATTGTATGTGCTGATAGTTTCGGTTTTAGAACTATATACATTATACAAGAAAATGATAGAATAATATAATGAAGTGGAGCATTATTGATATTTTACGTTTGATCTGTCCAGATATTATTGTAGTGATGATCAAGTAGAACACTAAGCTTCCTGGTTGGTTTCACTTTCCTTGGAGATCACACATACGGTAGCTGTCGAACACGTTATACCTGAAGTTGTGTATCCATGAGCTACACCTGAAAAGCCATACAGTGTGGATTGGCAAAGAGTCTCTTAGAATGAACCTGCCAAAAAGAACCCAAATGCAACACACGCTTCCTGGTTGGTGGTGAACCATTTGGTTTGGAATATATTCACGAATCTTGTGGCGGTGTTCTCAAGGCGTGGATGGTGTGCTCCTTCCCCACATATTCACCATATCATTTGCTACAAACGTCAATTACACTCACACACAAACCAAGGCAGCAACACAGACTGGTTACTGCTTTTTCTTGTTCTTTGTTACTGAACACGAGAACCACTGTAAATACAGCACACACGTCTACTTAGCACCCACATGTCTACTTAGCACCCACATGTCTACTTGTCTTTCCCCTCCCCACGAACCGTGTTACAGTACTTGAAATGCACGATGTGCCGTCTATCATGCAAGCAGCCAAGCAAAGCCAGCAGCCATGGTGACGGCAGTGGCAACGTAGCCTGCCAAAGAGAGAAGCAAAGCAACAAACAACATTCAGCCACTCCGCATTCACAAGAAGGAAACTGAGAAGCCCAAAACAACAGAAACGGGTGGGTATCATTAAACAGAGCACAAGTTCAATGTACCAAGCTTGATCGAAGAGGCGGAAGCAGCTTTGCCATTGGTCGTGGAATTAGAGCCGGATCCACTCGGAGGCGAAGTGCTGGTTGAACCGCTCCCACTGGGAGGTGCAGTAGTTGTCGATCCGCTTGATCCGGTAGCAGAGATGATATCAGTAGGCTGGTATATCAGGCCCGTGGATGCAGAGATCACAGTTTTATTATCCCATGCAGTTACGTCTCCAAAAGTCACCGAGCCGTCCGCGTTAACAACAGGTTTAACCGGATTCCCACTGACATCTGTGACGGTCTTATCTTTGTTGAAAACGGTGCCGCCAACAATTTTGCCGCCGTCCGGAAGTATAGAATAGATCACGCCGCCGTCGGGACCAGTCATAGTGCCGTTAGGGTAAATTGTGTAGCCTCCGACAGTTCCAGACCCATCCGCGTTCTTGGTGGGAGTCACAACGGTTCCAGTGGAATCCACAACGGTTCCATTGGAAAGAAAAACCGTGTACCCGCCGACGGAAATTGACCCGGCCTTGGCGGCCGCGTCTGCAGGGCGTGCCGTGAGCGTGAGTGACGCAGCGGCGGCGAGGAGCAGCACGACGACGTGAAAGGGCCGAGAGACGAGACGGAGAGCCATTGCTGTAGTTGTACAGAAAATAGGAAAGATAGAACAGCAGCTGAGCGAACTGAAAACGCTTTACGGTCTGCTTCATGGTGACTGCTGAAATACTGTCATGAGTGCGCTTCTCCCACTAGCCCTTTCCTCCCCGCATGCCGTGCATTGCACCGCTGCTCCCCGTTCCCCAATCCGCTGCTGCATGCCGCGCTCCCCGTTCCGCCGCTGCTCGCGTTTTGAGACGGCTCAACTCAAAACACTTCTAATTTCACGCGTTCCCCGTTCCGCCGCTGCTCGCGTTTTGAGACGTCTCAACTCAAAACACTTCTAGTTTCACGCGCTCCCCGTTCCGCCGCTGCCCCCGTTCCCCAATCCGCCGCTGCACGCGCTCCGTCCATGTGGTGTACTGAGACGGTAAAGCCTCCTCTCCGTTCAGGAATTACAATCCATGAGCTAGGATGCGGAGCAGTCATCCTGTCGGGCAGACACACCATGCCTTGCACCACTGCGCCCCGTTCCCCATTCCGCCGCTGCACGCGCTCCGTCGATGTGGTGTACTGAGACGGCAAAGCTCCTCTCTGTTCAGGAGTACCGATCTAAAGGAAATACGCTTTTTAGAAATTACGATCTAAGATCCAGGATGCAGAGCAGTCACCTGTTAGGCACCGACACGCACCAAACCCTATTTCACTGTTGTCTCGCGAGTGTGACAGGGTTGATGGTTTTGTGGTTTCGCAGTTTAGTCCTCCAAATCAGCCGTAAGGCGAAATCTCGTGCGATATGTTCTCGGAGTTTCGTTGCTTCGCCCCGCGACATACCATTGTGCCAACAAAAACTCACCGCGGGATGTTGCAATTTGGTAACCGTCGGCGAAGGTTTCATGCACGAAAAATAATGATCCACGCCTTCCTGACCTGCCGACTTTTAACTTGACGATGTTCGGCAGCACATTTCTGGAGGCCCCTCTGGGCAGGAGAAACGAATGAGTTTGAAATGTATTGGGGGTAGGGTTCGTCCTCGTCAGCCTCAGAACCAATGAGCTTGAGGATGTTCACTTGCGTCAGCCTCAGAAACCAATGAGTTTGAGGATGTTCACTTGCGTCAGCCTCATAAACCAATGAGCTTGGGGTAGGTTCGTCCTCGTAAGCCTCAGGAACGAATGAGCTTGGGGTAGCGTTCGTCCACGTAAGCCACAGAAACTATTTGCCCCTGAAAACGAACCCCAGTAAATACAGTACGTAGAGATTATCTTGATGATAAAGAAAAACAGAGGGGTACAAACCGGTTTATATTATACCGGTATCTATGCATCAATGGATCAGTGCATACATATCATGAGGTAACATATTGGCTTGGAAGATTCTCGAATCTTGTGTCGGGCCTGGATGGTAGCTCATAGCGAGTCGTCTGTCCAAGTAGCGATTTGTTTCGTTGGGATGATCTGCTCATAGAAGCTAGCGGTGAAAGCGGCGGTTATTTCAGATTCTCTTGTTCTTAGAGTAGACGGCTCCTTCCTTGCTTAGCTTCTCCTCGCCTTGCTCCGTCTTCGCAGCCATTCTTCCCCGCTTCTCACTCCCCCATTGCCTCGCGTCTGCTCCTCTTTTGTGCTCCTATGCCTGCCCTCCTCAACATGCCAACTTTTCATAGTTTTGCTCTCCTCCTTCTCGTCCTCCTCTCCCTCTCACCGTCCTCCAATGTGCCGCCGACAATATCGCGGTTGGCGGTAACCACGTCGTCGGTAACTGTGGCGACGGCGGCGAAAGTCATCGGAGGGGAGAGAGTTACATACAAGCACGCGGATCCGAACGAAGAGGAGAAGATAGAAGCTGCGTTAGGCAAGATTAAAGCCCCAGTTCAGGCCTTAACGGTGCCAACGCTTCGCAAGACTATAGCGGAGCATTCGCGCGTCCTTGTAGTGTTTTTCAATAAGGAGGATAGGGCTTTCCCGTTGCTCGTGGATGACATCAATGGTGCGAAAGCGGAGTTGACTAAGCTGGGTGTGACCGTAGCGATGGTGGAAGGAGTCGCGGCGGGCGAAATCGTTCGCGAAGAGTTCAAGGCGTATGGCGACATGCCGAATTTCGTGCTCGTCCGAGACGGAGTTTTCAGACCAATCAGAGGCTACCCGGAGAGGTGCGAGTGTGGTGTTTCACGAGTTTCATCATCGGGTTACCCTATTAGACGAAATGTGACGAATGGCGAAATGCGAAACTCCATGTTCGTGCTTATGCGGGGAGATGGTGCTTTGCTCTCATACAGACGTTCGATCCAGACTGGATTCTCAAGAGCTCTTGAAAACACATCTATTCCCCCCTCCCCGATCCCAGCGACGAGCTCATCACCCTCTGTGAAAAAGCGCCTTGGGCTGTCAGTCACACACTTCCGCTATCCAAGCAGCTATGCAACAGTTTATCCTTTGGCTGACAGTCTCCCCCAACCTTCTTCTTTCCTCTCCTCTTCTCTCCCCCCCTACCCCCCCCCCCCCCCCCCCCCCCCCCCCCCTTCCCCGGATCCCAGTGACCTCCATTCTCGAGCAGCTGCGCAACAGTTTATCTAGTGACTGACAGCTCTGTCATTTCACCCAATCTTCTCCCCTCTGCCCCTCTCCCCTCCTCACTTATGCCAGTGACGAGCTCATCGCCTTTGTGAAGAAGCGCCTGGGCCTGTCAGTGACTCACCTCACCGCCTCAGACACGCACAAGGCACAAACCCTGCTCGCTGCGTCTAACGCCATCGCCCTCGCGCTCCTCCATTCTTTCAGGGTTGGTGTGGTGTGGTGTTTGTGTGTGTGTGTGTGCGCGACTTTTTCTCTGCTGTTGTCTCTCTTTGCCTCATCTCTCTGGCCGTCTGCCTGTCAGTGACTCACCTCACCGCCTCAGACACGCACAAGGCACAAACCCTGCTCGCTGCGTCTAACGCCATCGCCCTCGCGCTCCTCCACTCTTTCAGGGTTGGTGTGGTGTGGTGTGGTGTGGTGTGGTGTGTGTGCGTGCGTCACTCTGCTGCGTCTTTCTGGCCGTCTGCCTCTCAGTCACCCACCTCTCCACCTCAGTCGCACGCAAGGCACACTCCGTGCTCGCTGCGTCTAACGCCATCTCCCTCGCCCTCCTCCACTCTTCCAATGTTGGTTGGTCAGTGTGTGTGTCTTTCTCTGCTCGTTAGTCTGCCCGTCTGCCTATCAGTCACCCACCTCTTCGTCTCAGACACACGCAAGGCACACTCTCTGCTCGCTGCTTCCAATGCCATCTCTCTCTCTCTTTCAATGTTGGTTGGTCGGTGCGTGTGTCTTTCTCTGCTCGTCAGTCTGCCCGTCTGTCTGTCAGTCACTAACCTCACCGCCTCAGAAGCACGCAAGGCACACTCTCTGCTCGCTGCTTCTAACTCCATCGCCTTCGCCCTTCGCCACTCCGTCAAGGTTGGTTGGCGTTCTCTCTTTCTTCCTGTCTCTCTTCTCTCTCTGCCCATCTGTCTGTCAGTCACTCACTCACCTCTCTCTTCATTTGGTTTCTTCAAGCTTTTTCTGGCGCTCGTTCGAGAGAGCGAGAGAGAGAGAGTGAACGGGTGTTAGACCCTTCCCTCCTAGCCTCTTCCTCCCTCCTTCACCTATATAATGGCCTCTCGGCCGCTGATCTAGTTCATTCTTCGTTTGGTTTCTTCAAGCGTTTTCCGGACCGACACGCGATTCTTGTTCTGCCTTCGTTTCTCATCGACACCATTCACAGGGTCCTGAAGCAGAGGCTTTTTGCTGAAGCTTCCCGCAACATCGACGATATCGAGTTTATCGCGACGACAGATGCAAACATCGCAGCGGAGTTCGGGGTTGTGAGCAAGGAGCGACTGACAGTGGCGGTTCAGGGTTCTGACCCAAACCAAACCAATACCCAGTTTCTTCTGTTCTTCTTTTGTTTCCAACCCAACCAATTCCAGGGCCCTGAGGCCGAGGCCTTTGCGGAAGCTTCTCGCGACATCGACGATATTGAGTTTGTCTCAACGACGGATGCAAACATTGCTGCGGAGTTTGGGGTTGTGAGGGAGGAGCGACCAGCACTGGCAGTGATCAAGAAGGAAGATGAGAAGTTCGTGGCTCATGGTAAGGAGAGGTTTTCTGCTGAGAGCAGGGTTGTTGACGCCGCACCCTTGTGGCGGAGTTCAGGGTTGTGAGGGAGGAGCGGCCGGCACTGGCAGTGATCAAGAAGGAAGATGAGAAGTTCGTGGCTCATGGTGAGACGAAGAAGAAGATTGGGGGGGTGGGGGGGGGGGGGGAGGGTGTTGGTTGATGGCAGCGCTGTAGCAACTGCGTAAAGGATTGTGAGCAATCAGCGGCATACGGTTCAAGAATGAAGCGAGGAAGAATCTTCATGATTTGAGTTGCTTCGATCACCCTTTCTTCTACCCTCCCTCTCGACTCTTCCCGTGTACCCCCCCTCTCTTTCGCCTCTCCTCCCCTCCCCTCCCCCTCCCTGCGTCCCCCCTGTCCTCGGCCCTTCACCAGCGCTGCCATGGCCGCCTTTGTAACGAACAGCAAGCTGCCTCACTCAACCACATTCCACTCCCTTACGATCCCCTTACACCCCACTCTCTACCCTCCTTCGTCTCCCTTTCCCCTCCTCTGTGTCTCCCAGACATTCGCTTCACCAGTGCTGCCATGGCCGCCTTTGTAACGACCATTAAGCTGAATTAACCACATGCCTTCCTTACCAACCCCCTATTCACCCCTCTAAACCCCTGTACACCCCTCTACCCCCCTGTACCCCCCTGTGTAACCCCAATTTATAGCCCCATCTTTCTCCCTTCTGTTGTCTCCTAAACGGTCCTTTCACCAGCGCTGCCATGGCCGCCTTTGTAAGGGCCAACAAGCTGCCTCACTGAACCACATGCCACTCCCTTACAATCCCCTTATACCCCACTCTCTACCCTCCCTCGTCTCCCTTTCCCCCCCTCCTCTGTGTCTCCCAGACGGTCCCTTCACCAGCAGTGCCGTTGCTGCCTTTGTAACGGCCAACAAGCTGCCTCTGGTTACCACCTATGACGAGGACAGCCAGTACACTATCTTCAACAGTGACATAACAAAACAAGTGAGTTTCTTATAGTGGTGTTTGTAACAGCCGGTAGCTGTTTCAGATTACCACGTACGACGAGGACAGCCAGTATAATGATAGATCAAGAAATAAGTGAGTTTTTCTCTGTAAATGTTTTTGGCACGAACAGGGTGTATGTATGGTGAGTGAGTGAGTGAATGAGTGGATGAGTGAGTGAATGAGTGAATGAATGAGTGAGTGAGTGAGTGAGTGAGTGAGTGAGTGAGTGAGTGAGTGAATAAGTGCGTTTAATGTTGGCCCCATAGTCACCTCATTTCCTCATTCTCCCCTCCTCCCTTCCCCCACCCACCATCGCTTCACCACCAGGTGTTGTTCCTAGCCACGAATGAGACCTACCTGCAGCACCTGCCAGCCAGTGGCTTTTGAGTCAGCTCTAGTGTCACCTCATATGCTCACCCCCCCTCCCCCCATCTCCCCCCCTGCCTCCACCATCGCTTCACCACCAGGTGTTGTTCCTGGCACCGAATGAGACCTACCTGCAACACCTGCCAGCCAGTGGCTCTTGAATCAGCCCCATAGTCACCTCATATGCTCATCTCGCCCCTCCTCCCTCCCTCCCCCTACCCACCACCACCAGGTGCTGTTCCTGGCAACGAATGAGACCTATGCGCAGCACCTGCCAGTGGTTTTTGGGTCATCTCCATAGCCACCTCATGTACATCTTCCCCCTCCTCCCCTCCTCCCCTCCTCCCTTCCCCCCACCCACCATCGCTTCACCACCAGGTGCTGTTCCTGGCAACGAATGAGACCTATGCGCAGCACCTGCCAGTGGTTTTTGGGTCATCTCCATAGCCACCTCATGTACATCTTCCCCCTCCTCCCCTCCTCCCCTCCTCCCTTCCCCCCACCCACCATCGCTTCACCACCAGGTGCTGTTCCTGGCAACGAATGAGACCTATGCGCAGCACCTGCCAGTGGTTTTTGGGTCATCTCCATAGCCACCTCATGTACATCTTCCCCCTCCTCCCCTCCTCCCCTCCTCCCTTCCCCCCACCCACCATCGCTTCACCACCAGGTGCTGTTCCTGGCAACGAATGAGACCTATGCGCAGCACCTGCCAGTGGTTTTTGGGTCATCTCCATAGCCACCTCATGTACATCTTCCCCCTCCTCCCCTCCTCCCCTCCTCCCTTCCCCCCACCCACCATCGCTTCACCACCAGGTGCTGTTCCTGGCAACGAATGAGACCTACCTGCAGCACCTGCCAGTGGTGAAAGAGGCTGCACGGCGGGTGAAAGGACTGGTGAGTGGTTGGGGGTGCAGAAAGTGGGAAAGGGGATTGGTATCAAGGGAAAGGGGGGAAAGAGGCAGCGAATGAGACCTACGCCCAGCACCTGCCAGTGGTGAAAGAGGCTACACGGCGGGTGAAAGTACTGGTGAGCGAATGGAAAAGATGAGGGTGGGGAGGTTGGTTGGAGCATGGGTGGCAAGAAAGGCTTGAATTTTCCAGTGGTGAAAGCAGCTGTGCAGCGGGTGAAAGGACAGGTGAGGCAGAGTGAAGGGAAGGAAGATGGGAGGGATAGAGAGGTGGCAGGCGGGAAGGAGGGAGGAACATGGGGGGGAGGGGGAGGGTGGGAGGGTTGGGATCATGCGGACTGCTGTTGCTGCTGCTGCCGCTGCTGCTACTCCGGCTGCTTTTCCTTTTCCTCCTTGATTGCCATGTCATTCCCTTGTTGGAGGCTAGAGCTACGTCTCACCTTCCCTTTCTGCTCGCCTCCCCCATCCTGTGGTTCCGCCTCCCTTCCCCAACCTCCCCCACAGGCTCTCTTTGTGTATATCAACAGCGATCTGCCAGACTCGGAGCATGCACTCGAGTACTTTGGCTTCAGGCACGGCGACACTGCGGTGAGCATGGGTTCAGTGCGGTGAGTGTGGGCGTAATGTGGTGTCCGTGGGTTCAAAGTGAGTCTGGGCTTTATGGTTAATGCAGTGAGTGGACGTGGGTTGAATTTGGTGATTGCAGTGCCAGTTTCAATAACTTGCCTCTCCATCCATCTCCATTCCTCTGCCCCCCACTCCATCCCTCTGCCACCGTCTGTGCCCCTCTGCGCCCTCTGTGCTTTCTCTGCCTCCCAGATCATGGGCATGGTATCCAATGAGACGGATGAGATCAAGTTCAAGTTCAACGGCCAGCTCACTCTGCCTCTGCACCCCTTTACGCCGCTCTGCGCCCCTCTGCGTCCCTCTGTGCCCCTGTGCGCCCCTCTGCGCCCATTTGCATCCCTCGGTCCCTTTCCTCACCACAGATCATGGGCATGGTATCCAATGAGACCGATGAGATCAAGTTCAAGTTCAACGGTCAACTAACCACCGATGACATCGAGGTGGGTTGGGTTGGGTGGGGTTGGGTTGGAGGGTGGGGTGGGATGGGTGGGGTGGCCTTGGGCTGGGTTGGGTGGGTTGGGTTGGGTTGGGTTGGGTTGGGTTGGGTTGGGTTGGGTTGGGTTGGGTTGGGTTGCTTAACATAGCCGCTCCGCTATGTTCTCCACGTTTGATAGTATATCAGATTCAAAAATTGCTTGTGCTGCTGCATGCCTGAGCTATATCAGTCGATTAAAAAAATGCTTGTGCTGCTGCATGCCTGAGCTAGTCCCCTTGTTGCCCTCTTAGACACTCGCCAACTACGTATTTTTTCTGAATTACTGGTCGTTTTTCCATTCCAACCCCTTCCCAAACACGCACCATCAACCGGGCAACTCTGCAGGCTTTTGCCCGTGAGCTTGCAGCTGACGCACTGGAGCCATACTATCTCTCCGACCCCATCCCAGAGAAGGTGAGTGCAGAATCTGATCACACCCCTGCCAGTCCCACCCATTACATATTTCTGCAGACGCACTGCAGCCATACTACCTCTCTGACCCCATCCCAAAGGAGGTAAGTAAATGTCTTTGCCGTTCCACCAACATCCCATATATGCACCACCGCCAGCCAGCCAACCCATCAGGCCTTTGCCCGTGCTCGTGAGCTTGCTGCTGTGCTGACCGTCTGCATCCATACTACCTTTCCAACCCCATCCCAGAGAAGGTAAGTTATATTATACATGTGAGTTCTGTGGGCGCCTACTAACCTTGGGTTTTGTGGCCCTCCAAGAAATTATGCAAACCCTACGAGTGAAGACACTCCCCCTCCTGGTCCCCCAACCCCCACTCTGTGCCAGCACAGTGCTGCTTCAGGGCTGAGTTTACTTTTGAGAATTCTCAAAAGTAAACTCAACTCCCTTCCGCTCCTGGTCCCCCAATCCCCCACTCTGTGCCAGCACACTGCTGCTTCGGGCCTGTCAACTTGTGAGGCGCTTTGATGAATATACTGTCTCACCTTTGAGTGCCTATCATCACCTGTTTCACTCAACGCAAACCTCGTCTTTTGTGGCACCTCAAATCAAACCTCCGTCCCCTATCCCCCTCTTACTCCATCCCTCTCTCACTTTAATCCCCTCTCACTCCATCCCTCTCTTACTCCATCCCCTCCCTCACTCCATCCCTATCACTCTATCCCCCTTCTCATTCCATCCCTCGCTCGCTATATTCCATGCAGAACGATGGTCCAGTGCTGACGGTGGTGGGGAAGACGTTCAAGGATATTGTACTGGACAGAACCAAGGACGTGCTACTCAAGGTAGGTATCAGCGGTTTGTGCTGTGCTGTGCTGTGCTATGCTGTGCTGTGCTGTGCGGTGCGGTGCTGTGCTGTGCTGTGCTGTGCTGTGCTGTGCTGTGCTGTGCTGTGCTGTGCTGTGCTGTGCTGTGCTGTGCTGTGCGGTGCGGTGCTGTGCTGTGCTGTGCTGTGCTACCCTGGTGTAACTGTAGTGGGGAAGACTTTCAAGGGCATTGTACTGGACAGAACCAAGGACGTGCTTCTCAAGGTGTGCATGGGTTAAAGCATGTTTCTAGGTGATTGCATAAAAATGCGCGTGGCGCTTCATGGACATTGTAATGGGCAGGAGCAAAGACGTGCTGCTCATGGTAGGTACTCACGGCTTGCACTCTGCTCTGCTGTCTTGCTGTGGCTTCAGTTGTGATTGAATTTCACTGCCCAGGTGAGCATATTGTGCTGCCCAAGCTAGGTATTGTGCATATTGTGCATATTGCGCATATTCTGCATATTCTGCATATTCTGCATATTCTGCATATTCTGCATATTGCGCATATTGTAATATTGTGCATATTGTGCATGCCGTGCTCTGCTGTCTTGCTGTGGCTTCAGTTGCCCTTGAATTTCACTGCCCAGCTGAGCATACTGTGCTGCCCTTCCCAGCTGGATGTAGGTCACTGTCAGGACTGCACAGGCCACGATCCCGCCTTGAGTTAGCTCACCCTTGCTCCCCCTCTACGCTCTTCTCCCCCCAGCTGGACGTGGATCACTGTCAGGACTGCACAGACCTCGACCCTGCCTTCAAGAAACTGGCTCTTTGGTGACTCACCGAGAAACACCCAGCAGCACCGCTCTGAACCTCTCTCTTCTCCCATCTCCTTCACCCCCCCAGCTGGACGTGGATCACTGTCAGGAGTGCACCGACCTCCACCCCACCTTCAGGAAGCTCGCTCTTAAGTTCTTTGACGCCCTCACACCCCACACGCCCCTTCCCCCGTGCTCTCTTCCAGCTGGACGTGGATCACTGTCAGGACTGCACCGACCTCCACCCCACCTTCAGGAAGCTCGCTCTTAAGTTCTTTGACGCCCTCACACCCCACACGCCCCATGCTCTCCGCTTATATTCGTCTGTCCCCTTCGTCCCCCCAGCTTTTACGTGGATCACTGTCAGGACTGCAGGACTGCTGCACCCATCCCTTCCACCCTTTCACGCTCTGGTCCCTACTCCCCCACAGCTGGACGTGGATCACTGTCAGGACTGCACGGACCTCGACCCTGCCTTCAAGAACTGGCTCTTTGGTGACTCACCGAGAAGGGCCCAGCAGCACCGCACTGAACCTCTCTCTTTTCCCATCTCTTACCCCTCCCCTCACCTCTCCAGCTGGACGTGGATCACTGTCAGGACTGCACGGACCTCGACCCCACCTTTAGGAAGCTCTCTCTCAAGTTCTCGGACGCGCCCTCAGTGGTCTTTGCGCGCATGAATGCCCGCAACAACGAATACCCGGGCCTGGAGGTGAGTGGCTGATGACCCAACGTTGCTGTATGTGCTACATTGCACTGCTCTCAAGTTCTCAAACGCGCCCTCGCTGGTCTTTGCGCGCATGAATGCCCGCAACAACGAATACCCGGGCCTGGAGGTGAGTGGCTGATGACCCAACGCTGCTGTATGTGCTACATTGCACTGCTCTCAAGATGCCCTCGGCCGTCTTTGCGTGCATCAACATACGCAACAGCGATGTGAGTGGCTGATCACCCCAACAAATGAAGCTGGTCGATCCAATGAAACTGAGAGCCACTTTCAAGAAGCTCGCTCTCAAGTTCTCGGACGCGCCCTCACTGGTCTTTGCGCGCATGAATGCCCGCGACAACGAATACCTGGGCCTCGAGGTGAGTGGCTGATGACCCAACGAGTAGGTCGAACTGAGTGTGTGTGAGTCCCATGTGCTGCGTTGCCCTGCTCCCAAGCTCCCCTCTGTGCCCTTGCTGGCCTTTGCTCGCGTGAACGCACGCTGCTACAACAGATACCCGGGCCTGGATGTGAGTGACGTACTAGAAATGCTGGTTACTGAACAATCGAACAATCGCCAGATTGGTCAACAAACTAGCAAGACACAACCAACAGTACTATGAACGCTTCTGCTTTCTAGCACTGCCCATCGTTCCCACACTTCGGTGTTTTTCCCCGGTCTTGTGTTCTTCCCACCCATTACCCGCCCTGGCCTGGCATCACCCTCCCGGCCCGCCAGCCCATGTTCCACGCTACCTTGCAATGTTTTGCATTCTTGTGTTCTTCCCACCCATTACCCGCCCGCCCATGTTCCACCCTACCTTGCAATGTTTTGCATTCTTGTGTTCCTCCCACCCATTACCCGCCCTGGCCTGGCATCACCCTCCCAGCCCACCCGCCCACTACCCACCATGTCTGAACACCCCTCCCGCCCATCACTCACCCACCAGGTGTCCGCCTTCCCCACTCTGCTGCTCTATCCAGCCAATCGCAAGTCTGACCCGGTACGTCCATAGAGCTCGGAAGCACGTACAGCACACAGGGCAGTCCATGCGCCACTCACCCACCAGCTGTTCACGTTCCCCACGCTGCTGCTATACTCTGTCAATCGTATGTCTGACCCGGTATGTCCTTACAGCACATGCATAGAGCACTTAACGCATTACTCACTCACCAGGTGTCGCCCTTCCGTTCCCCTGCCTCGGTCCGGTACAAAGTTGCGGCTAAGGCGCCTTAAAACCGTCCCTGATGAGTTCTGATGTCGGAGTTTTCAACCCTTTCATGCCTGTTTCTCTTCATGTTCGTGTCCCACCTGTGCAGATCGAGACGCACCATACTCGCCTCAGCCGGTTGACCGATTTTGTTGTGCGGAACTCGGCAATTCCGGTCAAGGTGCCCTCTGAGACGCCGCCTCAGCGGTCGTCCCAGCGCTCCAGGTCTAAGGAGGAGGCGGAAGAAGAGAAGGAGCTTCGCCACGACCTTGAGGAGGCAAAGGCACAGAAAAGGGGGTCTCACGATGAGCTTTGATTCTGCTGATCGATCACCACTTGCCTGGATAATGCTTGGAGGCAGTAAACATAGTGGGGCTATCATTTTTTTTTCTTTGTGCTCCTGGAGTGCAGGGTACAGTGTGCGCCGCATAGTTAACCGCCAAGGCTGGTATATCAGGAAAGAGAATGCTTTAAAGTCTGGCTTTATTCCGTCATACATGTTTTTTTTTCGGTATCATAGCGGGTGTGCTTGTGGTGGTTCGAGGAGCGGCAACATAGCGGGAACTTCTCAAACAAAATACGCGCGAAAAGCAGCCGTGCCTGACTGACAAGCGAAGCGGAGCGGCCAGCAGAGCAAAGCGTTACCGACGTGCCCAATTGGGTCCAGACCGAACCTCCTCACTGGCCTGTGACACGGAAATTAAACAAGAGCCGAACCTTGCAAAGTTTTGGTCCGCTAGAAGCCGCAACTTCGGAGCTGCCCTTCAAAGGTTTTACCTCGCCCAGGGTCAGGCAAGCTCGTTAACGATTGGTTCTTCGTGGTTCTGGATACTTTCTCCGTGCTGAAGGGTGCCTGACCGTCCAATATCCGTCAAACCTAGCCGTCAAACCTATCCGTCAAACCCACGAAACCTTGGGGATTACTTGATTAGTTTCCTCGCAAGTTGCGATCTGTGGAGGTAGTGGATACGTGCTTTCATGTGTGGACTTTGTTCGAGTTACGAAACTAGCCGTCCTCTCAGACAGACCTTTCGTGCCTGAAGTCGCTTGTTAAAATGTGCCGGAACGCACTGTCACGCCATTGCATGATGTGACAGTTGTTCAAAACCTGTGATGTTAGACATCGTTTGGGAGACCTAGGTAGACTTAGTTTTTAGACCCGGGATACACGTTGTTTTTAGAAGCAAATTCCTAGCGAATTTCGGAGCAATGGCAGTAGGGTACAAAGGAAAACCGACTTATAGAAGCTCAGCCAAGAGCCATTCGAGCCGCGGAAAACTGTTAGTGCCGGCGACGGTCGTGCTGCTAGCAGCCGTCGGCGTGCTACACTACTACTCTTACGTTAAGGGCCATCATGCTACTAACGAGTTTGCCAATGTCGAAGGTGTCATACGGCGCGAGCTAGTGGACCAGCGATCGGATCCCGAATGCCACGTCAACCCTAGTCCTGCCACGTGTCAGCACATCGACCTCGTCGCGTTTGCCACGGTCAGTGAGCCTTCCTTTGTTGACCTTCGCCGCAAGCTCGCGACCAAGAGCTCCACGTGGACAATTAGTTAGATTTCATGGTCGAATCACGACATGCTTGCAACGGTAGGCATAGAGTGACCAACTCTTGGATCATCATTTTTGCGTCACGCTTGGAGGCATAGTGTGCAGTTTCAGCAGTTTACCAACTGGCTCACAAGCAGCTCCCCATGGGGTCACTTCTCCCTCTTTCCTTTTCCGCCTCATCTTTCCTCTTACTACTCTATCAGGGCCCCATACCCCAGCGATTGGAGACGGTGTGTTTGGCGCACGCAGTAGCAGCAGTGCATCAGCTCACCGTGCGAGTGCTCTGGCTGACAGATGAACCGCAGGCAACCCAACAGTCTCAACAACCCCAGCAGCAGCAGAGGCAGAGGGCGGGCATGCCGTACGTGCCGTTCTCAGCCCTGTTTGAGCCGTCGCTGACGGTGGTGGAGACGAATCTGTCCGCTGCTGACGCCACCAGGAGGTTCATTCACGAGCTCTTCACTCCCAAAGCGGTGAGTGCAGTGCGGTGTAGTGCAGTACACTGCGGTGTGGTGCAGTGAGTGGGAGCATAGGGCAGGTTGTGTTCTCTGCCCTGTTTGAGCCGGCGCTGACGGTGGTGGAGACGAATCTGTCCGCTGCTGACGCCACCAGGAGGTTCATTCACGAGCTCTTCACCCCCAAGGCGGTGAGCGCAGTGCGGTGCAGTGCGTGCGATGTAGTGCAATGCGGTGTAGTGTGGTGTAGTGCGTTCAGTGGGAGCATAGGGCGTGCCATTCTCAGCTCTGTTTGAGCCGGCGCTGACGGTGGTGGAGACGAATCTGTCCGCTGCTGATGCCACCAGGCGCTTCATCCACGAGCTCTTCACTCCCAAGGCGGTGAGCACAGTGTGGTGCGGTGTAGTGCGGTGCAGTGCAGTGCAGTGTAGTGTGGTGTAGTGAGTGGGAGTGATGGGTATGCCAGCAGCAGCAGTCAGCTGCTGATGCCACGTGGCGGTTCATCCACGAGCTCTTCACTCCCAAGGCGGTGAGTGTAAGGAAGGAAGGCCATGAGGTGGGATGGTGGGATGGGATGGGGTTGGGAGGAGGGATGGGATGAGTGGGAGGGATGGGGTGGCATGGGATGGCATGGGATGGCATGGGAGGAGGATCGGAAGGCGGGATTCCGAGGTGGACGCGAATCTAACAAGCATCAATGTGCATTGTTTGTAAGACATTGGCCCTGGTACTCGTAGCCACTCTCCCTTCCCTTCTCTCCCTTCTCCTCTCTCCCCCTCACAGCACCAGTACGGCCCGTGTTTCCGAGACACATGGGACCGAATTCAGCGAGCATCGGCGTCTATTGAAAGACAGAGACCCTCACTCCCCACTTTTCCCCTTTCCCCCCTCCCCATCCCGCTCTATCTCCATGCAGCACCAGTACGGCCCGTGCTTTCGAGACACGTGGGAGCGGATTCAGCGAGCATCGCAGCGCAAGTCCGCCTTCCCCCGCACCTCCTCAGCTGACGCTGACTCAGACTCGGACCCTGCTGACTCAGATTCCGACTCTGCTGACTCGGATTCGGACTCTGCTGACTCAGACGCAGCCGCGGATGCAGCCGGCGCACGCGGTAAAGGTACTGAGGAGGCTTATAGCGAGGATGAGCCGGTGCCGGTGTCCATGTGGACCGGTGAGCTGGACAGTGAGGAGGTGGCGGGGCGGCCCTTGGGATTGCCGCGGAAGCTGACCCTGCATGGCTGGTTCCGCACTGAGACCCTTCAACGTAGCAATGTGGTGAGTGGCGGTATTGCAGTTTCCCCACTGCGACAGGCACACTGCTGGACAGACGGACAGGAGGTGGCGGGGTGACTTTTGAGTCGACTCAAAAGCGAGTGATTTATGCCCCAAAGCAAGCGAGGATGAGCCGGTGCCGGTGTCCATGTGGACCGGTGAGCTGGACAGTGAGGATCACCTTGATTCATGATTCGAAGGTACCGAGGAGGCTTATAGCGAGGATGAGCCGGTGCCTGTGTCCATGTGGACCGGTGAGCCTCGGATGCAGGGGGTGAGCTGGTGAGCTGGACAGTGAGGAGGAGGCTTATAGCGAGGATGAGCCGGTGCCTGTGTCCATGTGGACAGGTGAGCTGGACAGTGAGGAGGTGGCGGGGCGGCCCTTGGGATTGCCGCGGAAGCTCACCCTGCACGGGTGGTTCCGCACTGAGTCCCTGAAGCGCAGCTCTGTGGTGAGTAGTGGTTGAGAGGGGTAGGCAGAGATGCAGTGGTTGTGTGATGGACAGCGAGGAGGTGGCAGAGCGACCCTTGGGATTGCCGCGGAAGCTCACCCTGCACGGGTGGTTCCGGACTGAGTCACTGCAGCGCAGCAATGTGGTGAGTGGATTGTGTGGTTGAGAGGGGTAGGCAGAGATAGAGTGGTATCGGATGGGTGAGCTGGGCAGTGAGGAGGTGGCGGAGCGCCCCTTGGGATTGCCGCGGAAGCTGACCTTGCATGGCTGGCTCCGCACTGATTCTCTGCAGCGCAGCTCTCTGGTGAGTAGTGGTTGAGAGGGATGCTGCTACAGGCTGATACACACTGATAGCGCAATAGCCCTTGGGATTGCCGAGTAAGCTAACTCTGCATGGCTGGTTCCGGACTGTGGTGAGTGGCTGTTGTGGTGAATGGTAAGGCTGCTAACTTCGGATCCAAGCTGATACAAGCTTTAACCCAACCCAGTATCCCGCTGCTGAGTTTGTGCTTTTCCCTTCCATCTCCCCCTCATTTTCTCACTCACAGGAGGACTGGCAGGAGGAGCGGGTGGGGTGTCTGGTATGGGCGCACGTGCAGAAGTGCTGCGCGCGGCTGCAGCCCTCCCTTGCTGTGGCTGCCATGGGACTTCTGTGCTCAGTTCTCCTGCTTCTGAAGAACTTTCTGAGGGTTCTCATCACAATCCCCTGCTCCTCCTTCTGTTTCTCACCTGCTTCTCCCATGTTCCTTCTCTTGCTTGTCCCTCTTCCACCATCTACAGGAGGACTGGCAGGAGGAGCGTGTGGGCTGTCTTGTATGGGCGCACGTGCAAAAATGCTACGTGCAGCTGCAGCCCTCCCCTGCTGTGGCTGCGATGGCACTCAAATCTCACTGCTTCCAACACAGTTTTTGCTCCGCTTCTCTTTCTGTTTCTCCCTTCTTCCCCCTCTGTCTCTCCATCTACAGGAGGACTGGCAGGAGGAGCGCGTGGGGTGTCTGGTGTGGGCGCACGTGCAGAAGTGCTACGCGCGGCTGCAGCCCTCCCCTGCAGTAGCTGCCATGGTGCGAGACGAGGGGGTCCACACCACACGCGTGGAGAGCAGCATTGGGGTCTACCTGGATGTGAGTCTCTGCACTCGCAGTGTGCTGTTCTGATAGTAGTATCCACCTGGTAGGTTTCTCTTCTGCTGCTAGGTTGCAGCCCTCCCCTGCTGTGGCTGCCATGGTGCGAGAGGAGGGGGTGAACAGCACACGTGTGGAGGGCAGCATTGGCATGTACCTGGATGTGAGTCACTGCACGCACAGTGTGCTCCTTTGGTAGTAGTACCCACCTGGTATGTGTCTCTGCTGCCAGGCTGCAGCCCTCACCTGCTGTGGTTGCGATGGTGCGAGAGGAGGGGGTCAATCAGACTCGCGTGGAGAGCAGCATTGGCGTGTACCTGGATGTAAGTGGGAGCACCGCACTGCACCGCACTGCACTGCACAGTGCTCTGGTAGTATAGGCTCTCACTGCTGCCATGGTGCGAGAGGAGGGGGTCAACAGCACATGCGTGGAGGGCAGCATTGGCGTGTACCTGGATGTAAGTCTGTATGCTGTAGCCCTCTCCGGCTGTGTCCATATGGTGCGGCAGAGATCTCTATCTGCCTTATATCTCTGCCGCCGTTGCCAGGCTGCTGCAGCACTCACCTGCTGTGGCGGCGATGGTGTGAGACGTCGGGGTCAAGCAAACGTGTCGAGAGCAGCATTGGCGTGTTACATGTACCTGGATGTGAGTCATTGCACAGCGTGGTGTTCCGTTCCAGTAGTATTCACCTGATGTATGTGTCACTGCTGCTGCCAGGCTGCTTTTGAGGCGCCTCAAAAAGCTGCTGATGCCCTCACCGGCTTTGCCCGACTTCTGATGCGAGAGGAGGGGGTTAACCAGACGCGCACAAGGCCCCCTCTCACCTACTGTGTTTTCTTCTTCTTCTTCTTTTCTTTCTATCTATCACTGCCACTCCAACGGCATAGTTCTCTCTCGTTCGTCCCTTGCTTTCCATGTGTTCCCCCTTTTCCTCCCCCGGCCCTTTGCAAGCCAACCCCAGAGGCACCTGCCCCGGTTGTCCATCCTCCCTCAATCCTCCTGCCAACTGTGCCGCCTCTTTCCCAACTCCCATCCGCCCCTCTTTGCCCCCACTTCCCTTCTGACGTCCCTCCTTTCCAATTGAACAGGCCACCCCCAGAGGCACCTGCTCCAGCTGTTCCTCCTCTCTCAATCCTGCCGACTGTGCTGCCTCGTGCCTAACTATCTCCCCTTGTGGCCTGAACCCCACCCACTCCCTTCCCACACACCTTCACTCCTGTGTCTTCCCCTTTACATGCCTGCAGGCCACCCCCAGAGGCACCTGCCCCGGCTGCCCCTCCTCCCTAAATCCTGCCGACTGTGCGGCCCGCACGCTCGCCCTCACCATGCTGCACCGCCCCTCCATCGACTTCACGCTCGGCTCCGCCGCCCAGTCGCACCCGGCGCACATCGTCTCTTTCTTTCCATGTGTCCCCCCCTTTTCCTCCCCTTTCTTCACGCTCGGCTCCGCCGCCCAGTCGCACCCGGCGCACATCATCCCTTTCTTTGTTCTGGCATGGCGCGAGTACCAATTCGCTTTTAGTAACCTTTTCCCCATCCTCCTCCCCTCCCCTACCCCCCCCTTTCTTTAAACAAACAGGCCACCCCCAGAGGCACCTGCCCCGGCTGCCCCTCCTCCCTAAATCCTGCCGACTGTGCCGCCCGGACCCTCGCCCTCACCATGCTGCACCGCCCGTCCATCGACTTCACGCTCGGCTCTACCTTCTCCCCTCCCACAGCTCGCCCTGGTCTGGCGAGTACCAATTCGCGTTTGGCAACCTTCTCCCCACCCTCCTCCCCTCCTCGCGTTCCCCCCCCTCCCCCACGTTAAACAAACAGGCCACCCCCAGAGGCACCTGCCCGGGTTGTCCTTCTTCGCTCAATCCTGCCGACTGTGCAGCCCGGACTCTCGCCCTCACCATGCTGCACCGCCCCTCCATCGACTTCACGCTCGGCTCCGCCGCCCACTCGCACCCGGCGCACATCGTCTCTTTCTTTGACGCCGACCGCGCACCGTACGTGTCGCCGTCCGCCGCGTTCCGGGTGACAAACTGCGGGGAGAAGCTGGTGCAGGCGCTGGGGGAGGCTCGGGAGGGGGCGGCTGAACGGCTGGCGGAATTGGTGCTGACGTGCAAGCAGCGCGAGGTGAGACCGGTTTATCTCTGGCACCCTGCCTCCCCTCCTCCTCCATCCCTTCCCTCTTTGAGTTCCGGGCGACAAACTGCGGGGAGAAGCTGGTGCAGGCGTTGGGGGAGAAGGGGGAGGGGGGAGCTGAGAGGCTGGCGGAATTGGTGCTGACATGCAAGCAGCGAGAGGTGAGAGCAGATGCCTCTTGAATCCTTCCCTCCCTCCTCTCACCCCCTCTCTCACTCTTTCTGTTCAACTGGCAAACTGCGGGGAGAAGCTGGTGCAGGCGATGGGGCAGAAGGGGGAGGGAGCAGAGAGGCTGGCGGAATTGGTTGTGACATGCAGGCAGCGAGAAGTGAGAATGGTTTTACTCTCAAAACCTGGCCCACCTGTTGCCTCCCCTCTTGTTCCTGTGTGCAGGTGGCTGACCCCTTCCTGCTCGGCCAGACGACTGGGCTCGTGGTGATGGAGCCAAGCACGCTCTCAGACTTCATTGCAGCAAGAGGGAGGCACCGCCTGCCCTCCTTCCATCTCTTGCCCCTCACCTGCTGCCCTCCCTCTTTTTGACATCTTGCTTCTCCCACCCCATCTCCGTTGCTTGCAGGTGGCTGATCTCTTCCTCCTCGCACAAACCACCGGGCTCGTCGTGATGGAGCCGAGCACGCTCTCAGACTTCATCGCATCGAGGGGGAGGCACCGCCTGCCCTCCTTCCGCCTCTTCACGCCGCTGTGCCTGGCGGAACGCGCCTGGCCCATGACCGTGCAGCCATTCGCCTACTTCTTTGCTGTGGAACGTGAGTAGGGGTGCATGTAAGCATGTGCATCACTGGTGCATGGGTACATGTGTCGTGAGTTCGTGTGTGCACCACCTCCCCTCCTTCCGCCTCTTCACGCCGCTGTGCCTGGCTGAGCGCACCTGGCCCATGACAGTGCAGCCATTCGCCTACTTCTTTGCTGTGGAACGTAAGTTGTAGTGGATTCAAGAGTGCATGATGTGATACGGGTTCACTGGTGCACCGCCTCCCCTCCTTCCGCCTCTTCACGCCGCTGTGCCTGGCGGAACGTGCCTGGCCCATGACCGTGCAGCCATTCGCCTACTTTGCTAGGGAACGTGAGACACATATGCATGGCTGCATGAACACGTACACACACACCATTTGCCCTTCTTCCGCCTCTTCACGCCACTGTGCCTGGCCCATGACCGTGCAGCCATTCTTTGCTGTGGAACGTAAGTTGCTTGCATGAGTACATGTGTTTATGAGTTTGTGAGTGTGTTGCTTCCCTTTCTGCCTCTTCACGCCACTGTGCCTGGCTGAGCGCGCCTGGTCCATGACTGTGCAGCCCTTTGCTTACTTCTTTGCCCTTACTTCTTTGCCCTTACTTCTTTGCCCTTACTTCTTTGCCATGACTGTGCAGCCCTTTGCTTACTTCTTTGCCCTTACTTCTTTGCCCTTACTTCTTTGCCATGACTGTGCAGCCTTTGCCCAATTCTCTTGGTCTGATTGTTATCAGTCGCGCCACCCTTCTCACCATCTCTACCATCCCCCTGCCAGCTTCCCTAGGCATAGCCTACTGCAGCATGCCCAAGGTCGCCTGCACGGGATGGAAGATGTGGCTGCGGGCCATGCTCAACCTACCAACTCCTCTATGTACTCCTTGTTACCCCTTGTTACTCCCTGTTCCTGATTTCTTCGTCCGTACCCCCACCAGCAACCCTAGGAATCGCCTACTGCAGCATGCCGAAAGTTGCCTGCACGGGATGGAAGATGTGGCTGCGGGCCATGCTCGGCCTGCCCAAGCCTCCGCTTACACGTGGTCACCCCTTGTTACCCCTCGTCACCCCTTGTTACCCCCCCATACCCCCACCAGCTAAATTAGGCATCGCCTACTGCAGCATGCCCAAGGTCGCCTGCACGGGATGGAAGATGTGGCTGCGAGCCATGCTCAGCTTGCCCAACCCGCAAGACCCCTTGTCACCCCTTGTCACCCCTTTTCATCCCTTGTTACCTCTTCCCGCACCAGCTAAATTAGGAATCGCCTACTGCAGCATGCCGAAAGTGGCCTGCACGGGATGGAAGATGTGGTTACGAGCCATGCTCGGCCTGCCCAAGCCGCGAGACCCCTTTCTCGCACACAGCCACAAGGACTCAGGCCTGGGAGACCTCTCACAGAAATACTCTGAGAAGAAAGCCACGAAGCTCATGACGCGCCGAACCATGTTCAAATTCACGTTCGTTCGAAACCCGTACGTTCGGATAGCCTCGACGTACCTGAACAAGCTCGTGATCACCGATGCTCCGGAGCGGAAGGAGGGGTGGGGGACGCGGAAGTTTTGGAACCAGGAGTTTTTCGGGACGGCGAAGAGGATTTTGGATTTGTTGAAGGATCCGGTGACGGATCTTGTCAGCTTCCCGGATTTTATTCGGCTGCTGGATCATCTTAGGCGGACGCGTGTCAAGACGGACCGACACATCTCAAGACAGGTGATACTCACACATTTCAAGTCAGCTGAGACTTACATATTTCAAGTCAGCTGAGACTCACACATTTCAAGTCAGGTGAGACTCACACATTTCACGACAGGTGAGACTTACACATTTCAAGTCAGGATAATGAATTCTGCTGCTGGATAATATAAGGCGGAACCATGCCAAGACCAACTGACACATTTCGAGGCAGGTGAGGTCGACACATTTCCAGACAGGTGCGGCCGACACACCCTGGGTTTGATGTGTCAATGAGAGTCTGAGAGGCTTGTCATCTGGAAGCCATCATGAATGTCATCTATCATTAATGCGCATCTCCAGACAGTGTTTATGTAGTGAACTGTTATAAACATAATATTTCAGTTACTGTAATCAATACAATTGATGGTATTGTTGTTATTGGTAATACATTTTGTGCCATTGTTATCATCACTCTTCACTCCCAGTTGGACATCTGTGGCTTGGCACATGTCCAGTACGACTTTGTGGGTCGTTTCGAGCACCTGGAGGAGGATGTGAGGCGGGTTACAGCAAGATTTTGTCACTTGCATTTCCAAACATTGCTTGTTACTTTCTGTCGCACGTCACTCCCAGGTGGACATCTGTGGCTTGGCTCACGTCCAGTACGACTTTGTGGGTCGTTTCGAGCACCTGGAGGAGGATGTGAGGCGGGTTACAGCAAGATTCAACGACTCGCATCTCGATATTTTCAACTTTGGCAAGTCGGTGCATGCGACAAACTCTGAGGCACAACTTGCTCGGCTGTATGACAGGGTAAGCTACTGTTTGCACTCTATTATGGAGGTTACAGTAAGAAACTACTGGCGCCTCGACTTCTTCCACAGGGTACGTCTTCCTATTACACTGTTCTCTTATTACACTACGACAAAAAAGGTACTTAGGTGTACAACTCCCAAAACTCACCAGTTCATGTTACCAACTCCGAGGCACCTTGACACCCTGACACCCTTTCAAAACAGGGTAAGTATTGTCACATGCACCTCCAACATGGATCGAGCACTTCAGTAATGCAACTCCTTTGTTCTCACTGTCTTGTCCTCTCTTCCATGCATCTGCAGGATACGGTGCTGACTGTCTCTCGCATATTCAAGAGTGACCTCAATGTTCCCCTCAACAACATCACGTATGACATGCCAGATATTCTGCGGAAACTTGTGGAAGGGGGTCCAAGTAGTGGCACCAAGGTGGAATGAATGCAGTGAAGGAAGGCGGGCCCACTGTAAGCAGCAACACATAATACATATTGATGTTTATGTTGAAGTACCCTAGCTCTCAAAAGAAATGTCAGTATGTTGAGGGAATAATCATCCGAATATATATTTTTGTAGTTGTTCTGTAGTGAGTTCTTTGCTTTGTTATGTCCTTGCGGATATCTCAATTATGTCTATATGGGTTACAGTGTTGTCGGTGCTTCTCCACACTTCCTCACATTGCATTGATCCCACGAATTCCACAACACTACCTCCTGACGTGTTCCGCTCGCATTCGCAGAAAGCGTGGCCTGCCACCTGATTGGTGCTTACAGTTGTGGAGAAACATGTCGAATTGTCATAATGTGGATTTCGTTATGCTATTTCACCAATCAGCTTCCAGTATGCCCCAACCAAGATCTCCAGGATGGTTTGTGGGGCCACAGCGACATCATGCTTCTGTGGACCAGCCACGCGAAGTATGACGGAAGATTTCTGCTTTCTCATCACTTCCACCACGCCACACCATTCACCACGCCGCAAGGATCTTCTTTGGCGAAGCCAGCGACACGTTGCGACAGCTTAACCTGTGACCTAGCGGCGACCAGTCCAGACTCCAGCAATTGGTTGGAAGGTCACAAGGAAAGCCACTTTTCTTGCGATTGGCCAAATTCGGATTGCGATAATTGGGGACCACAGATGCTGCAGATTTTTCAATCGGAGGATCACGAACAGAGCACGAGCGCTCCGCACTCAACCAATCACATTGCGACTAGGCCCAAATCCCATTCACCCCTCTCTAGCCTATCCACGCAACAGCCTGTTCCGCACAGTTCAAGAACTCGAATTCGTGAAGTATTTGAACAGAAGTAGCTTCAGCTCAGCAGAAGCAGCAACTCACAGCTCCAGCTCCCAATATTTACTCAGCACAGCTTCTTCTGACGCTTCTGTCATCCATCTAAAATGGCTGCTCTCGCGAACGCCGCTGTGCTCCCGTCCACCTTCGTCGGTCAGAGCGCTGAGCTCGCCGCCAAGGTGAACAATGTCGAGGCCCGCGTGACGATGAGGAAGACCGCCAAGGCGGCTTCCAGCAGCGCCTTCTACGGCCCCGACCGCAACCTGTTCCTGGGCCCGTTCTCCTCCCCCCCGTCGTACCTGACCGGCGAGTACCCCGGTGACTACGGCTGGGACACCGCTGGTCTGTCGGCTGACCCCGAGACCTTCGCCAAGAACCGGGAGCTGGAGGTAAGCCTACTGGAATCTTTAGCAACACATATGTGACGCATTTCTCACGCATGAATATTCATCGCTCACAGAACCGTGCACTTTCAACGTTTCATTTCCTTCAGCAAGCTAGAAAAAGCCCTCACCTTCGCTGCTTAACGACGTTAACTATTCCAAGGTTTTCACCGAATTCACTGTTCTTGCGTTCTATTCTTCAAATTTCAGGTTATCCACGCTCGCTGGGCTCTTCTCGGCGCGCTCGGCTGCCTCACCCCCGAGCTCCTCGCCAACAACGGCGTGAACTTCGGCGAGGCGGTGTGGTTCAAGGCCGGCGCGCAGATCTTCTCCGAGGGTGGCCTGGACTACCTCGGCAACCCCAGCCTGATCCACGCGCAGTCCATCCTGGCCATCTGGGCCACCCAGGTCATCCTCATGGGTGCCGTTGAGAGCTACCGCGTGGGTGGCCTTGAGGGCTTCCAAGAGGTTGAGGACCCCCTGTACCCCGGCGGTGCCTTCGACCCCCTGGGTCTTGCTGACGACCCCGATGCTCTCGCTGAGCTGAAGGTGAAGGAGCTGAAGAACGGCCGCCTCGCCATGGTGTCGATGTTCGGGTTCTTCGTGCAGGCCATCGTGACCGGCAAGGGCCCCCTGGAGAACCTCTCGGACCACCTGGCTGACCCCACCGTCAACAACGCCTGGGCATACGCCACCAACTTCACCCCCGGCGCTTAGATATAGTCACTTATATCCTGTATATTCCTTTTTTTTTCTTTTAAAATATGTTTTCGCTCAACCTTCTGATATTTTTCATTGAGCACATTTTCTGACTGCTCACTGAAACGTTTCGGGCAAATCCGTATGTTATAAGCTCAACTGCCTGTAAAAATCATCATGATGCACACGACCCTTGTCCTCTCGGCGAACGTGCCATGAAACTCGAGTGAACTTGGAAAGGGATGCATGAATGTCATAATCGTATTACTAATGGCCCTATCTTATATCAGCGGAAATTGAGTTGATACTGGACACGTCCAATAAGCAATTCAGCTCAAGTTCACCAGACCGTTGTTTCGGGAGGGATAGGAAGAAACATGTGTCAAATTCACTGAATATACAAATCACAGTGAACAGATCGGCATAACATGATGCAAAAACAGCATTTACTACTCACCATCAAGCTCGTGTCTTCGCTCAATTTCAGAATTATTTTTGTTGTGGTAATATTTCATCAGTCAGACACTCAATTTCTGAATTTCTCTTGTGGTCATACCTCATCAGTCAGCCTCTGGGACAAAGGAGTGGTGGGGAATTTAGGCAGCCGTAGAAATGTTTAATGTGCAAGTTTATGGGATCTAGCTGCTGACGGAAGCACGGTGGTAAAGGCAATCACCGTGGTAAATTTCAAAGACCTCGAACGGTTAATGTATTATACCCTCTCACACCTTAGATGTGAAAGTACGAATTCTCAATGTTAGCTCCTAGAAAGCACGAGCCCGTGTCGTGGATCTCACGTTTCATGATTCCGTCCGGCTGCAACAATCCTATTGATTTCCCTATCATTGGTCTCAATGTCTGAGGGTTTCGTTGACAGCAGGTGTTTTACGGGCCATGAAAAAAGACACGTGTAAAGCGTTGTGAAAAATAACTAAGAAAAAGAATATACAAAATTCAGGAAACTAAATCTAAGCGCCAGGGGTGAAGTTGGTGGCATAGGCCCAGGCGTTGTTGACGGTGGGGTCAGCCAGGTGGTCGGACAGGTTCTCAATGGGACCCTTGCCGGTCACGATGGCCTGCACGAAGAACCCGAACATGGACACCATGGCGAGGCGGCCGTTCTTCAGCTCCTTCACCTTCAGCTCAGCGAGAGCATCGGGGTCGTCGGCCAGACCAAGAGGGTCGAAGGCACCGCCGGGGTACAGGGGGTCCTCAACCTCTTGGAAGCCCTCGAGGCCACCCACGCGGTAGCTCTCAACGGCTCCCATGAGGATGACCTGGGTGGCCCAGATGGCCAGGATGGACTGCGCGTGGATCAGGCTGGGGTTGCCGAGGTAGTCCAGGCCGCCCTCGGAGAAGATCTGAGCGCCGGCCTTGAACCACACGGCCTCGCCGAAGTTCACGCCGTTGTTGGCGAGGAGCTCGGGGGTGAGGCAGCCGAGCGCGCCGAGCAGAGCCCAGCGAGCGTGGATGACCTGAAATAAATATAAATAAACAAATAAATACGAAAGAACAGTGAATTCAATGAAAACCGTGGAATGGTTAACGTCATAAAGCAGCAAGGTAAGGACTTTCTTGAGCTTGCTGAAAGAAACGAAAAGTTCAATGTGCACGGTCTATGTGTATTCGTAAAAAACGCGTCTCATATGTGTTGCTAGAGATTCCGGTAGGCTTACCTCCAGCTCGCGGTTCTTGGCGAAGGTCTCGGGGTCAGCGGACAGGCCAGCGGTGTCCCAGCCGTAGTCGCCGGGATACTCGCCGGTCAGGTACGACGGGGGGGAGGAGAACGGGCCCAGGAACAGGTTGCGGTCGGGGCCGTAGAAGGCGCTGCTGGAAGCCGCCTTGGCGGTCTTCCTCATCGTCACGCGGGCCTCGACATTGTTCACCTTGGCGGCGAGCTCAGCGCTCTGGCCGACGAAGGTGGAGGGGAGCACAGCGGCGTTCGCGAGAGCAGCCATTCTATGAAGCTGTGCCTGAAGTATTCTTGGGAATGGTGAACTAGCGAAGTAGGCTGATGAGAAACAAGAATGAGGGCAGACAGGTTTTGAAGGTGTTCCACCGGTAAAGCTGGTGAGGAAGAGATGGAGGGGGTCGGATTCGGATAGGGTTGTGGGTGTTGGGTGTGTTGGTCTAAGCAGTTTCTGATTGGCTGGCTCTGATCGCGAACCGCGTGGCGGTTGCGTTTTTGGCATTCCGAATTATGACAAGATCCCCCTTGAATGGATGGGTTGCGTGGTTACAAAATCCGAGGTCGGCCAATCCTGATGAGTTTAGCTCGTTTCGTGAAGTGCTTTTGTGGTGCGCTGCACACGTACAATCTGTGGCCACTGCAGGGATGCGAAGAGGCAGCGACGCTTGGCGCAGAATGCCTTCCCAGATCGTGGGGATCTTTGTGTGTTGGGCGAGGGCCTGTTGAGCAATGAGCACACGTTATGCCATGTCGACACGTCACCAACAGAACCAGAGAAGAGATTTTAGCGGACCAGCATTGAGCCAGTTCCAGTAAGCGAAAAGCAATGGGAAACGCCCTTGAGGTGTAGGTCAGTAAGTATAGAATCAGTGGTCCTACTGATCTTGAAGCGTTGCACCTTGAAAGCCCACCCTACTCATGGCTGTCTAAGACTACAAATTCTGTCGCTGTACGGGGAATAGAAGTTGAATAATCATAATACAATGCGATTTTATGTGTAGAATCAAGTGCTATTGCTATGGTGGCCAGGCTAGTCTTCGTGGACATGTGCGGCTTCTTTCTTGGCAGAGAGAGCAAAAATGTCACAGATCACCTCCAAGGGCAACCCCTTAGTCTCTGGGACCTTGAGGAAGACAAAGAGCCACGAGATCATGCTCATTGTGCAGAAGATGGCAAAGACCCCGGCAAGACCAAATCTTGCTTGAAGTAGTGGAAACGCCTGGCTGACACCAATGTTACACAGCCACATAGCAGCACCACACAGACCAATGCACAAGCCCCGAACAGGAGTGGGAAAAATCTCAGAGCAGATGATGTTGGGAATCGGCCCAAGACCCATCACGAATGCACAGCAAAATATTGTGACTCCTGCTAGCGAGCAGGCTGACTGCACCAACCCTGGACCAAGAGAAGACGATGAAAACACTAGAAGTGCCAATGATGCTCCAATAACAGGGGTGGTGTATAGAAGAAGTTGCCTGCATAAACATATGGTTTCAACTGAGCTTGGTGCAAGTGAGTGAAAACGCACATATTAGCACGTCATAGCACATACCTTCGACCCAAAGAATCCATGAGCAACATAGCTGCAAAGATGCAGGGCAGCATGAGGAAAGCTGTAACGCCACTTGCCAACATGGATGACGATTCCGCTGTCAATCCATAATTCTCCAAGACGCTAGCTCCAGAGGACATGAGAATGGTAGGGGTGTAATACAGCACTGCGTTGATCCCACAAGCCTGCGAACAGAAAAAAAAAATCGAATCAGTTGGGATCAAAGATGATGCTGATCATAGTTGCCACCTTTCCATACCTGCTGGAGCACTTGAAGGCCAACCCCTACAACAAGGGCTTGCTTCACACCAGGTTCGTTTAGACTGCTGAAACCTCCTTCAGCACCCTCTGACTTTGATGGATGCACCATGGCCGGGCCTTCTGTGTCGCCCTCAAGAGGCGCCAATGAGTTCTGCTGACTGACAAGCACAGACACCTGAATACCATCATCATTCAGAAGCTGAGTAGAGTCCGACAATGATTGGCCAATATTTTGCTGCAGGATGTAGACCCTCTTCATGTCATCATGACTCTGGTTGTTCAGCTTTTCATCATCTCCCTCCGCCTGAGTAGAACCCCCCTCAACTTGCCACATCAGCTGCCACCCTCCACCCAGTGACCCTGCTGTAGCTGTGGATGTTTGGTAGCTGTTGTTCATGTCTAGTGATGCCAACGAGGCCAATGGTGGAACAGATGAAAAGACAGACTCCAGAACAGAAGACTGGCGTGAGAACTCCAGAGAATTGTTGTCAGATGCACACGCAAGAAGTGGAGCTTGCACATTTTCAATATCGGAAGGCTGAGCTGATTGCTCCTCTCCTGAAGAATTCTGAGATGGCCATAACATGGCCTGAATGGTCTCGTTGCCTGTAGTGCCCATATCACTCGCCCTCTGAATGTTGTCCATCAGCGTAACTAAGTTGTCAACTGGAAGGCTTCCAGATACGAAAACGCTGGATGATCGCGAGGGTAAGGCAGAATCTTCTTTCTCAGTTGTATCGGCAGCTGGGCATGCCATCCACTCACAACTCGAGTCTGGACCGATCAACTTAACAGGTGGGACTGAATCGTAGTTTTTGTTAATCAAATCTTCATCCACGGGCTTAATGACCCACTCCTCCAACGAGATGTCACGGGAAAGTCCGAGGCCCTCAACCAATACAGCCAGCTCACCTGGCGAAAAACGTGTAAGATGAATCTGATCACTGATATGTGTGAGCATTAGCAAGTTAGTGAGCGCTCAGCTTACCCGAAACGTCTTGAGAACCGCGAAGGTACTGCAGGACGAAACGTGCTTCCGCCATTCGACCCTTGCTGACAAGCCATCTAGGTGACTCGGGAAGCACAAGAAAGAGTGCTAGAATGTAGAGGAGCGACGGCCCACATCTGAAATCAGGTGACGGATTTCAGCCACACAGGGATTGAGATCAAAACGAGACGAGAAAACAAGTGAGATTTCTTACTCGATTCCAAGGATGAGTCTCCAATCCGTGTGTGTGGATAAGGAAAGGAAAAAAGACACTGCATACGAAATGACCATAGCTCCGATCCCCATCAGCTGAGGAAGCGTGGCCAGCTGGCCACGGATTTCGGGTGGTGAACATTCTGAAATGAAGATTGGAGCGACTGTGGCAAAGAATCCAATGCTGAGCCCGACTAGGCTTCTGCCTGCGACAAGGTACTCCACGCTAGGGGACCATCCGCTGATTGCAGCTCCTGAAACAAGCACCTTCTTGAATATTGTTGCTGTATTCAAGCATACCACTAACCGAAGAGCCGCATCTTACCTGAAAAAAACGTGAAAGCAGCAATCGTAAGGACAGATTTTCTGCCGATCAAGTCCGCAAAACTTCCAGCGATTAGAGTACTGAGTACGGAACCTGCGTGTATTCTCACATTGTCAGATTCAGGACAACTACAAGAACGTGAGATTCATAAAAGCTACAAACCCAGCAAAGATGCGGTCACGACCAATCCGACCGCAGTTGGAGATAGATGAAAATCAGGCACCACGTAGAGAAGCGACCCTAAGAAATCAGAGGTCCAAGTCATTCACGATAGTCAGGTGTTCTAAATATGGCATAAAGAAAAAGCTTCACGCACCTGCTATCGCGGCATTGTCCCAGCCTTGGAGCCCATTACCAAGAGCAGCACAAAGTGCTACGATAACGGCTCCAGATACCATGACTTTAGACTTCGAATCAGCCTTGCAAGTGTGAAGACTCCGAACGGATTGATGCTGCTGCAGACAAAATCATCACCTTCAGGAATTCTTCGAGCGAAATTCTGGTCTGAGCGAATTTTGTGGGGGGTGTTGGTCTGTGTATGAGCAACATCATTATAACATCGAGGATACATCGATTCAGTGTAAGATGCTTCGGCTCCGATATATTGTATGGTCGATAACGGGAATTGCAGCCAACACCCTCAACAAACTGGTATGATTGAACCAACTTGTAACATCAAGACCATTTATAAAAAATGATAGACATATACATTGTAGTCATCATCTTCTGGTAGTACGTTGTGTGAGAAGGAAGATGTAGCATGCAATGCGGAAGGCCATTGCAAAGCCCAATAGCACAAGTAGGTCAAGCCACTTTGATTGCCCAGACAAGCCTGCAGCCTCTATGACCTGATCAGGACAAGGGGGGTAGATCAGAAAAAACAAAATGATCACTATTGCTACGTGCAAAAGATTATAGTGAGGTCAGGTGTAAGTACCAGAGCAACAACAAGAATGGCCGTTAATGATTGATACCACTCACCTGTGCTCCTGTGCCTGCAAGCCCGAAGGTGGTGTCACTATGGCTCCCGTACTCATTTATTATGAGAGCATCCAATGGGTACTTGAAGACTGACAGGTAGTGCATCCAGATCCAGTACGAGGGGATGTACTGTTGGAAAGAGATGGGAAAGGGACAGGACATAACGGGAATGGCGCTGGTCAAGTGCACTCCTGAAGATGGTGCTGCTATGACTTCCATACTTGTTGATTATGAGAGCACATAAAGGGTACTTGAAGACGACAGGTAGTGCATCCAGATCCAGTAAAAAAAAAAAACAGAGAGAACGAAATAAATGGACAAATGCGATGTAGCGGTCTGGTGTTATATAAGTAAAGCACAGTGGATAAAGTGAGCCATCCCATATCCAGGACGCGTGCACGCATGCAAGTGTCTGTGTCCGGTAATGATCACAGCATGAGTGCAGCGGAAGAGATTGAATCTTTGGGAAAATTGTGTATTCTCTTTTATTTCAATGCCTTAGCCACTAACCTTCTTTGCAATGAAGTAGCCGGAGAAGAGGAAGAATGCCCCCATGAGGCCAGCAATCATGGAGTTAGCTGTGATAAAGTCAGGCACCATGGCCCTGAGGCAAGGGAACAACCCACATGCACGGGAGGCACAACACACATACACAGGAGGCATATAAACAATCAGAGATACAGGGGTGAAGGAACAAGCGCCCCATGAGGCCAGCTATCAGGGAGTTAGATGTGCTAAAATGAAGCACCATAGCTCAGACACAAGTGAACAAACACATGAGGAGTTAGACGCGATGAAGTTAGGCAATGTGCTGCAAGCCATGTAGCCTTTAAGGAAATACTTACGCGATGCAGGCGACGATTGCATTGGCGACGATCAAAACAGCCCAGACGATGAGGAGGAAGAAGAGGAAGGCGGAGAGGGAGGCGTATAGGCCGACGAGGAGGAGGAAGACAGGAGAGACAATGAGGATAGTGAGGGGTTGGGTATGGATTATGAGAGACTTACGCGATGCAGGCGACGATGGCGTTGGCAACGACCAGCACGGCCCAGACGACAAGGAGGAAGAAGAGGAAGGCGGAGAGGGAGGCGTGTAGGCCGACGAGGAGGTAGGCCGGGATGGAGTAGAGGAGCGCGAGGAGCAGGAGGAAGGGCAGAAACACAGCCACACTGCGAGGGAGGGAAGGGAGAGTTGGTGGGGGGGAGGGAGGGGGAGAAAGGGATGGGGGTAAAGATGGAGGGTGGATTTTTTACTCGGGAAAAACCGATGGATACAAAAAACGCTGCGTGTAGCGAAACAGCGGGAATTAGGCATATCACTTACCTAGCAATGGCATACGAAGATATGCGGTAAGCGCCTCTTGATGTTTCTCGGAGAAAGATTTGCCTCTCCTGTACATGTAGGGATATCGACAAGAGATCAGAAAATTTGATTCAGATTTGTATGGTGTGTTGGACCCAAAAAAGCATGATGATAAGTGGGCCATGGAGTCATGGCACGTATGTGAGAAGCACTTGCCTCAAGAAACACAGGCAGGGCTTCGACAGACGAGGTGAGCAGGAAGGCGAGAGAGAAGGCAAAGAATCCCATGCGTTCCTGAGGAGAGGGAAGGGGGGCAATGGGGAGAATGGGGCGGAGAGGAAGAGTGGCGGGATGAAGACATAGGGCTTCGACGGACGAGGTGAGCAGGAAGGCGGGAGAGAAGGCAAAGAATCCCATGCATTCCTGAAGAAAGCAGAGAATGGAGAGAATGGAGAGAATGGGGAGAAAATGAGGAAGGGGAAGGAGGATGTTCTCCCCATTCTGGCCATTCTCCCCATCTCCCCATTTTCCCCATCTCCCCAGTCTCCCCATTCGCCACATTCGCCCCATGCGCCCCATGTGCCCCATTCTCCCCATTCCTGTATTTCGTCCGTCCCCACGTTTATCCCCTGAGGGTTGGACGGCAGGTGAAGAAAGGGAGTTCTCAAGCAGAGAGCAGTGAAGGCAACCTGAGAGGCCGTTTGCTTGCGTCTGATTCACTTTTGTTGAGGAACCCCCACCCCTCCCTCACCTTTATCCCCTGGGGGTTGGATGGCAGGCGAAGGAAGAGCGTCCCCAAGCAGAGAGCAGTGAAGGCGACCTGAGAGGCCCTTGGCTTGCGTCTGCTTATAACACTCCCCGTCGTTTCCAATTCCCTACCTCCCTGGTCCCACCCCATCCTCACACCCCCTCCTCACCTCTATGCCCTGGGGGTTGGACGGCAGGCGAAGGAAGAGCGTCCCCAGGCAGAGGGCAGTGAAGGCGACCTGAGACGCCCTCCCCAGGCAGAGCTCTGGGGTCCTGGCCATGTTCTGATGGGTGGGGCCAGGGTGGGGGTGAATAAAGAGGTTGTTTGGACGGTGATCAGCAGCAGTGAAGGCGACCTGAGACGCCCTCCCTAAGCAGAGCTCTGGGGTCCTGGCCATGTTCTGAAGGCGGGGGAAGGGTGGGGACACAACACAGGAACAAAGGAATCCAGACAAGCCAGAATTGGTATTTTGCGAATTCTAGAAAGAACTGACGCCCTCCCCAGGCAGAGCTCTGAGGTCCTGGCCATGTTATGCAGTAAGGGTTTGGTTTAGAAAGCAACCAATGGGAAATGCGACGATGAAGAAGGAATGAAAAGCCTGGCTTGAACAACAACGACAAGCAGAGGGCAGTGAAGGCGACCTGAGACGCCCTACCCAGGCAGAGCTCTGGGGTCCTGGCCATGTTGTGCAGTAAGGGGGAAGGGCAGGGAGAGCGCACAAGGGAATAGAGAGCGAAAGGATGGTGAGGGAATGAAGAGGATGGCTGGACCACGATAAGAAGCAGAGAAGTCGACCTGAGACGCCCTTCCTAGGCAGAGCTCTGGGGTCCTGGCCATGTTTTGAGGGGGGGGGGCAGGGCGGGAGGGAATGAAGATGTTGGAGCCACGTCCCTCCAACATCCAGGTCATGATCTGTTGCGACCGTGACAGGCAGCAAGTGAAGGCGCCCCGAGACGCCCTCCCCAGGCAGAGCTCTGGCGTCCTGGCCATGTTCTGCAAAGAAAGGAGTAGGGAGAGGAGCGGGAAGGATGAAAAAGAGCACACAAGGGAATAGAGAGCGAAAGGATGGTGAGGGAAGCCATGAGAAGCAGGTTGGATGGACAAGCAGCAGTGGAGGAGACCTGAGACGCCCTCCCTAGACATCAGGGAAGCCAGGTATCATATGGACGCATGTATGCACTCCCATTGGATGGAATAGGATGGGAGGAAAGTACCTTGAAGTTGCGGCAGCTGAGCCACCAGATCTCGTGCAGGGGAGACGTGGCATACTGGGGAAGGAGGGACGAAGCTTCACTCCCCCCATCGCTGCTCCCATCACCACTGCTGCTATCGCTGTCACTGTCACTTCCACTGCCACCACAGGTGCTGCTGCTGCTGCCACTGCTGTTGCCGTGGATCAAGATGGGAACATCTTGAAATGGTGAAGATGGTGGCGAGGGGGACGGTGTGGGTGTATCAACACCTGTTTCACCCTCATCCTCAGCACCAGCAGCAGCAGCGGCAGCGGCAGCAGCCATTATCGATTTTGCCATCGAAATATACGTGCGCATCTGCTGCTGCTGCTGCTTGCTGCTGCTGCTGCTGAAGGAGCTTCCACAGCCCACTGCCGCTTGACTGCTGGGAAGTGGAAGGAGAGGAGGTAGAGAAGGCACAGTGATTGAAAGAGCGCTGAGTTTTGACTAGCGACAACGCATCTGCTGCTGCCGCTTGCTGCTGCTGCTGAAGGAGCTTCCACAGCCCACTGCCGTTTGACTGCTGGGAAGTGGAAGTGGAAGTAGAGGAGGCGCAGTGGTTGAGAAAGAGCTGAATTTGTGGAGCCAGCAGCAGCAAGGCGGGCCTCCAGGAGGGAGAGAGGGCCGCAGTGAACCAGAGAGAGTTGAGCCAATCAAACCCCACGGGAACAAAAATAGGGAGAACAGAGGATACGAAAGCAACTCAGTCCCATGCCTTCCATGGCGTATTCTATGGCGTTGACTCGCATGGGCACAGTGCAGCCAGCAGAAAGGAGAGAAGGCCGCATTGAACGCGAGGGTTGAGGCAAGTGAAACTCCATGCCCATCGAGAACAGAAAGGAGGGTGGCAAGGCAACTCAACCCCATGCCCTCCATCGCAAACTCGAGTGCATTGACTCGCATGGGCACGGTGCAGCCAGCAGAAAGGAGAGAAGGCCGCAGTGAACGCGAGGGTTGAGGCAAGTGAAACTCCATGCCCATCGAGAACAGAAAGGAGGGTGGCAAGGCAACTCAACCCCATGCCCTCCATCGCAAACTCGAGTGCATTGACTCGCATGGGCACGGTGCAGCCAGCAGAAAGGAGAGAAGGCCGCAGTGAACGCGAGGGTTGAGGCAAGTGAAACTCCATGCCCATCGAGAACAGAAAGGAGGGTGGCAAGGCAACTCAACCCCATGCCCTCCATCGCAAACTCGAGTGCATTGACTCGCATGGGCACGGTGCAGCCAGCAGCAGCAGCAAAACGAGCCTCGGATCCATCAGTAAAGGGAGAGCCAAGCCAAGAAACAGCACTCACTTACCCCCATGCCCTCCATGGCGTATTCCAGTGTGTTGACCCGCATGGGCACAGTACAGCCAGCAGCAGCGAGGCGAGCTTCCAGCAGGGAGAGAGGGCCGCAGTGAACAAGAGAGAGGTGAGCCAAGTGAACCCATGAGAACAGAAAGAGAGGGAACGGAGGGCAGGGGAAACAGCACTCACCCCCATGCCCTCCATAGCGAATTCAAGCGCGTTGACTCGCATGGGCACGGTGCAGCCCGCAGCAGCAAGGCGGGCCTCCAGCAGGGAGAGAGGGCCGCAGTGAACCACGGATCCCCGTGAGAGCAGCAGGAGAGAGTCGATGAGCTCTAGCATGCGGAAGCTGGGCTGTGAGGGGAGCAGCCAGGGGTAGGAGAGGGTGGGGGGAAGAACAGAGCGGTTGAGAACGGTGGGAGGAGAGCAGCAGGAGGGAGTCGATGAGCTCTAGCATGCGGAAGCTGGGCTGCGAGGGGGAGGGGTAGGGGGGGACGGGCGGAAAGACAGAGGGCGCAGCAAGGGGCAAAGGGCGATGGAGGGAACAGAGGGGTTGAGAGCAGCAGGAGAGAGTCGATGAGCTCAAGCATGCGGAAGCTGGGCTGCAAGGGGAGCAGCCAGGGGTAGGAGCGGGTGCAGGGAAGAACAGAGCGGTTGAGAGTGGTAAGGAGCAGCAGGAGGGAGTCGATGAGCTCGAGCATGCGGAAGCTGGGCTGCGAGGGGGAGTAAGGGGTAAAAAGGGGGAAGAGTTGGGGAATGAGGAGGGGAGTAGGGAGAAAGGCTGTCTGTTGAAGCCGCAGTGAACCACAGAGCCCCGGGAGAGCAGCAGGAGAGAGTCGATGAGCTCTAGCATGCGGAAGCTGGGCTGCGAGGGGGAGAGGGGGGAGTGGGAGGGAGAAGGGTGGGGAAGGAAGAGGGTGAGAAAAGCAGAAAAAGGGACAAGCCGGTAGGAGTTTGTAGCAGCAGCAGCATTGAGCCCAGAAGCCTGACTCGGCCCCTCCCCTTTCTACTCTCCCACTCTCCTCTCCTGATGTAGAAAGGGGCCCTCCCCTTTCTACAGCACGACCGTCCGCCCTCCCTCCTTGGCCATGCCTCTCAGCACGCTCAGAACGTTGGCAGCAGCCGCGCTGTCCAGCCCACTGGTGGGTTCATCCAGCAGCACCACTCAGTCATTCCCCCCTCTTGTCTCCTCTTCCTTTACTCAGCCCCTTCTCACTCCCCTGCTCGTACCTGGTGAATAGACAACACGACTGTCCTTCCCCCTTCCTTGGCCATGCCTCTCAGCACGCTCAGCACGTTGGCAGCAGCAGTGCTGTCCAGCCCACTGGTGGGTGGGTTCATCCACTCACTCACTCCCCGTCTTGTCTCCTCTTCCCCTGCTTACCTGGTGTATCGACAGCACCACCGTCCTTCCTCCTTCTTTCGCCATCCCCCTGAGCACGCCCAGCACGTTGGCAGCAGCAGCGCTGTCCAGCCCACTGGTGGGTTCATCCACTCACTCACTCCCCGTCTGTTCTCGACTTCCCCTGCTCACCTGGTGTATCGACAGCACCACAGTCCTTCCTCCCTCCTTGGCCATGCCTCTCAGTACGCCCAGCACGTTGGCAGCAGCAGCACTGTCGAGCCCACTGGTGGGTTCATCCAGCAACACCACTCAGACACCCTCTTGTCTCCACCTTCCCAGCACCACTCCCCTGCTCACCTGGTGTATCGACAGCACCACAGTCCTTCCTCCCTCCTTGGCCATCCCCCTCAGCACGCCCAGCACGTTGGCAGCAGCAGCGCTGTCGAGCCCATTGGTGGGTTCATCCAGCAACACCACTCAGACACCCTCTTGTCTCCACCTTCCCAGCACCACTCCCCTGCTCACCTGGTGTATCGACAGCACCACAGTCCTTCCTCCCTCCTTGGCCATCCCCCTCAGCACGCCCAGCACGTTGGCAGCAGCAGCGCTGTCGAGCCCACTGGTGGGTTCATCCAGCAACACCACTCAGACACCCTCTTGTCTCCACCTTCCCAGCACCACTCCCCTGCTCACCTGGTGTATCGACAGCACCACAGTCCTTCCTCCCTCCTTGGCCATCCCCCTCAGCACGCCCAGCACGTTGGCAGCAGCAGCGCTGTCGAGCCCATTGGTGGGTTCATCCAGCAACACCACTCAGACACCCTCTTGTCTCCACCTTCCCAGCACCACTCCCCTGCTCACCTGGTGTATCGACAGCACCACAGTCCTTCCTCCCTCCTTGGCCATCCCCCTCAGCACGCCCAGCACGTTGGCAGCAGCAGCGCTGTCCAGCCCACTGGTGGGTTCATCCAGCAACACCACTGCGGGATTGTGAACCAGGTCCATGCCTATGGATACACGCCTCCTCTCTCCTCCTGACAGCCCCCTCCCCCTGCTGCTTCCAGCGCTAGTAGACCCAATCCGCGTGTTGGCGACAGCCTGGGGTGAGAGCAGGGACGAGAGGGAATGGGGGGCAATGGGGTAAGGAAAGAAAGAGGGACAGCCAGCCCACTGGTGGGTTCGTCCAGCAACACCACTGCGGGATTGTGAACCAGGTCCATGCCTATGGATACACGCCTCCTCTCTCCTCCTGATAAGCCCCTCCCCCTGCTGCTGCCTGCACTCGTACTGCCGATCCTTGTGTGGGCGACAGCCTGGGCCAGTGGAGAGCGGGAGGAGTGGGGGGGAGGGACGGGGGTAAGACAAAAGAGGGGGCAAAATTAGGAGGAAATGGTATTGTTCTTGTGGGTGCATCCCAGCTGACTGGTGGGTTCATCCAGCAGCACCAAGTCCATGCCTATGGATACACGTCGTTGCTCTCCGCCTGACAGCACCCTTCCCCTGCTGCTGCCGGCATTCGTACTGCCAATTCTGGTGCGGGCAACAGCCTGGGGTGGGAAGGTGGCAGGGAGAGAGCAGGGAGAGAGCAGGGAGAGAGCAGGGAGAGAATTGTTGGGGTAAGAATGAACGAGTAAAGAAGGGAGGGTATGGGATTACTGCTGTGGGTGCAGCCTACTGGTGGGTTCATCCAGCAGCACCACCACTGCCGGGTTGTGCACCAAATCTATTCTTATGGATACCGTTCACACTTGCCGTCTGCTATGTTACCATAGCAACCCAGTTACGTGTGAGATGGTGGTAACAGGGATGTTACGCCTTACCTGCAAGCCAAGAGTCGCCAGGAGAGCGTCGAAACGAGAAAGCTTGTCGGCGAGCGGCAAGGAGGAGGGCAGGCGGAGATGAGCGGAGAAGAGGAGCGACTCACTTTGAGTTGCACCGAGCCACAAGCAGCACATGTCTTATCTGTGTGACTGAGCCACGCCTTACATGGAGGCCGAGGGTGGTGAGGAGAGCGTCCACACGAGCGAGCTTGTCGGCGAGGGGCAGGGAGGAGGGCAGGCGGAGATGTGCCGAGAAGAGCAGCGACTCGCGTGGAGTGAGGTGAGGAAAGAGCGCATCGTCCTGCTGCACGTAGCCTGGGCGGGAGGAATTCCGGGGTTGAAAAACGAAGGGGAGGAAGGTGGAAACGAAATAAGGAGTGGGCAAAATTACGCATGTCTCAGCGTACTGAGTGAGGTGAGGGAAGAGCGCATCGTCCTGCTGCACGTGCCCTGGGCGGTGGGTTGGGGGAAAGAGAGGGGAGGCGGAGCGATTAAGTAGAAAGGCAGGCGAAGATGGGCCGAGAAGAGGAGCGACTCACGTGGAGTGAGGTGAGGGAAGAGTGCGTCGTCCTGCTGCACGTAACCTGGATGGTGGAATGGGTAGGAGAAGAGATGAGGAAAAAGGTGGAAAAGGCAAGGGGGAGAAGAGCGAGATATGTGTGTCTCAATGTGCTGAAGGAGGTGAGGGAGGAGCGCATCGTCCTGCTGCGTGTAGCGTGGACGGTGGAAAGAAGTGGAGATGGGGAGAGCGTGCAAGATCATGTGTGTGCCGATACAATGAAGGAGGTGAGGGAAGAGCGCATTGTCCTGCTGCACGTAGCCTGGGCGGTGGGGTGGGCAGTGGAGACAAGAAAGGGAGTGGGCAGAGTATTAGGTGTGTTGCTATCTGGTGAAGGAAGGGAAGAACACATCGCCCTCCTCACCTGAGATTCGCCTGAGTTCGCCTGCGCTCATCCTCTGCCCGTTCACCAGGATGCTTCCCCTCAGTCTCCCCCCCTGAATCCGCCCTCCGATGCAATCCAGCAGCGTTGACTTGCCCGCCCCACTCGGCCCTGCCACTGCCACCACCTGCCCTGGCCGCGCCACTGCCTTCCCCACTGCCATCCCCACCCCATGCACTCACCTCAAAAGAAGCCACTTTCCTATTCCAGACTCTCCCTGCTCTCTGCGTTCCAGACCCATTTGTCATGACTCAGAGGGAAGGGAGCTCACCTGAAATTCTTCTGAGTTCTCCAGCGCTCATCCTCTGCCCGTTCACCAGAATACTTCCCCTCAGTCTCCCCCCCTGAATCCGCCCGCCAATGCAGTCCAGCAGCGTTGACTTGCCCGCCCCACTCGGCCCCGCCACTGCCAGCACCTGCCCTGGCCTCGCCACAGCTGAAACGCCCACCAGCAGCGGGAGGAAATCCGCAGGACCGTTCAGACAAGTACCAGCGCCAGCAGCAGGCGAGTGCAGAGCAGCAGCAGAAGCAGGAGGAGGAGGGTGCAGAGCAGCAATAGGAGCAGCATCAGCAACATAAGCGGGAGCAGTCTTAGAAGAAGCTGCCACCAATGGCACCCACTTAGAGAGTGACTGGGTGATATAATCAAGGGAGGAGGACGCAGGAGCGGGGATGGAGTAGGAGAGGTTGTCGATCGTAATAGTGTAACACACGCTGGTGGTAACCATGCTCTGCCCATGCGCGTCCCACGTCTTGCTTGGGTTAGCCTTCTTTGGCCCTCCTCCAATGCTGCTGCTGCTCTTGCTACTGCCGCTGCTGCTGGTTTTGGTGCTGGTGCCACTGGTGCCAGTGCTACCAGAGCCACCTGTATCACTTGAGTCGCTCTCTGTGCTCTTGTTGCTGCTGCTCCGGTGCTGTTCTGATAGCCCTCCGATTTGAATCTCGTTATCAAAATCTCCACCACCACAGCCAACACCAACACTACCAGCACCATATTGAGAGAGCGGCAAAAACAACCCTCCTTTCCATGCACTTGCTTCGGACACAGAGAGGCGCTCCCCAGGTGGAAAGAATTCACCACCAGGCTCGGTCTCCTCACCGCCATGCCTTGCGAATTGGCTGGCAGGTTGATTGCGGTGACCGCTATAATGAGTATAACTGCTGATGCCGCTTCCGGCCTCCGCCTTTTTCAAAGCCAATAGCCTTCCCTTATCCGCCCCTCCTCTGTCACGTAGGAGGGTACTAGAGCCATCATACGAGCCACTTGGTCCGTTGTGCACTGCTGACGCAGCAGACGCCCGGGTCCTCGCTTTCCTTAGGGCCTCCACGTCAAGCGCGCACACTGATGACATGGCGCCACGTCACCGCTGATCTGAGGAACAGCTGGCGCCCGAGGATGCAGACGGGCGTGGTGTGCCAGTTGCGTCTGGCTGACGGTTTTCGTCTCAACCGATGGTTAATTGGGTGCTGACGGTGCTGCTAATAATTGCCAGTGAGGGGAAAGTCAAGAGAATAGCTGACGCTGTCAGCGTTTTTGAGAATCCTAGGAGCGGAAATTTTATCAAGTGAACAGACGCACACCCTGATTGAATGGTTTTGAGCCGAGCCAAAGCCGTCAAGCTTGCTGGTTGGAGAATCAACTTCCCTGTCAACGTTTTATAAAAAACTGAGAGATACAGGGAAGTGTGTGCGAGGGTAGTACGGAGGAAAAAGCGCCAGATAGGCCAACCAGCAGCAGCAATGGGTAACCAGCAGGTGTCCAAAATGAGGATCAAGAAATCTGGCTGCAGGATTTCTGCAGAATGAGTGTTGAAAGCTCGAGTTCTGCTCTTATGACGTAGTAAGCACACAAAGTGAGTGTGCCTTTCTGGCTCTAAATTTGAGGGAGCAACGCTCCGGGCTCTGGGCGACGAGTACGCTCTGGGCTTGCGATTACCCCGTGCGACACAAACTGAAAACGACGACGGCGACGACGACTGCGACTTTTACTCGGAAACAGCACGCGATAACGATGGGAGAGAGGCTGGGGGAAGAGCTGCGAGGGTGTAGTCGGGAAACGATGGAATATCGGGAGAAAGGCCACTGTGACTACTATCGATTTGCTGGCACAATCTGATTGGCTGCGTAGCCATTGTGATAACGACGGACGTGATTCGATCAGTTGGAAAAGCGCAATCGGTGCGGAGGACATTGGAATCGCAGGCTGTGTGAGAGCGAATGCGACGACGTGCTGTCACGAGCCGTCAACTGCACGACGACGAGCGACCAGCATGCGACGCAATCGCAATCGCACGTGTCAATCGCTGGCAACAACCGCAGGCCAGTGGAGCGAACCCGAGAACCGCCGACCAGCACGAATGAAGAAATCAAAGAAGCGAGAAGCGCGGTCAAAAGGAAACGATTAGTGGTCAGCGATCCAGCGGTCACCGATTAGGACTAGAAAGTGACCTGTGACGGCAGGGCGTGACAAGCAAGGCCTTCTATCTACCAAAAGGAATCTATCTAGCAACGAGTCAGCTTCGCTTCAGTCTAATCATAGAGAGGAAATGGGAGGATCCACCTGAATCTTTCACTGATGGAGACGGCGACATTACCAAGGCCATTCTCGCTGATGGCGATTTCGAGGCAGTAAAATGCTGGTGTTTCCCACTTCCACCGTACTGTATCGTACTACTTTCTGCATCGTACCGTACCACAACGTCTTCCATTCCCGCGATTCTGGTGTTTCGTTCAGGTGGAGCGCATCCTCGCTACAATATCGTCGACTTCTGACACAGCGGTGTTTTCGAGGTGTGAGTTTCGGTAACGGAGGCAGATGACTTCATTCACAACATCCTCATTCATACAGCATCCTCCACACGTACCGTAGATGTAAAGAGTTTCCCCCACTTGTAACAGGTTTTGATAAATGAAGTTAACCAAGAAAGTACCACATGGCTTTAGACTGATAACCCCACAAGAATCCAACCTAAGCTATCCTCCACTACAACAGCCAGCACACTGCATAAAAAACCACTAGATTATGCAGCCAAAGAAAGAAGCCGTAATGGAGTGAAGGTACACATTACAACAGGTCCAGCAATACATGGTACAACAGTCTAAACCACTCATCAGGCGGGCCAGGCAGGCAGTAATGCAGGCAATCCCGAGGGGGCTCATAATGCCCATCTGGTCTCCCGGCAGTCATGGGTACAATATCCATAAACACCCCTCCTACAGACTCAACCAACTTTCTCGCTTCCTCATTCTGCTCTGCAAAATCACCCCAATGGTACGGCATTGCCGATGGATCCGTTCCAATCGATGGTACAGCATCTTCTGTACAGAAATTATGCCTCGCGGCAGTGCTTCTGTAGATTATAAGGAGATTCGGCGCAGCTGCTCTCACTGTAGTTAACGTGTAATTAAGCTCAGCAATCAATAGGGGTGTTTGCACCCAGTGAGCCCCTCGGTTGAGCACAAGAACCGAGATGGGGGGGAATGGGTCATCCCTGGGAGCCTCCTCCTCCTCCCGCCGCCTCGTCTCCTCCTCCTCTCTCCGTTTCTCCCTCGCCTCCTCCCCCTTGACAATCACATCGAGCCACGGCACGGAAATGCGTTCCTGAATCTTCACATAGAGCTGCAGGTCAGTGCTGAGCACATCATCCCGCACGTACATGAACTTTGCACTTCCCAGCGCGATCCCAGTGCACAGAACCAGGAATGGCCGTTGCTGCAGCTCCTTGTTTTCAGTGCGGTCCGCGCAGAAGGCAGGGGTGAATTCGACCGGTTCTAAAGAAGCCTCCTCTGCTTTGCGGCCGTTCTGCTGCTCCTGCTGCTCCCGTTGTTGCCCTCTCTGCACACTACTATCAGGCATCAAGGCCTGCATTAGACGATTCTTAAGCGACCTGAAAAACATTCCGTTCAACGAATCCCCCACCACAAACACAGCCATCCCCTCCAATTTCTCCGCAAGTTTCGCCCTGCGCACTTCCCCCCACTCCCCACACCTCTCTTCAGGAACCCACTTGTACTTCACCGTATCCCGCACCTTCCATTCCACTGCCGAACCTCCTGCCAACGCTATCTCGTCCGCCTCCTCGAAAGCAACGTTCTTATAACGGGAGTTGTTCTGCTGAGACGCGCTGATCCATCTATCGTCACACTCCCAGCCCGCAATGACCGCGTGATTCGGCGACCAGGGGAGGGTGCGGGGAGTGGGGTCCAGATGCCACGTGGCGTTCGCTGATAGGCACGCCAGGCGGGCTTGGAACGAGAGGAGCTGATTGGCTGAGGTGACGCGGGAACCAGGGATGCCACGGGCATGGGCGTTGGAGGTAGGGGAAGGAGCAGGGGCAGGGGCGCTGGTGGTAGGGGCAGGGGCAGGGGCAATGGTGGTAGGGGCAGGGGCAGGGGCATGGGCGCTGGAGGTAGGGGCAGGGGCAGGGGCAATGGTGGTAGGGGCAGGGGCAGGGGCAGGGGCAGGGGCAGAAGCAGGGGCACTGGTGGTAGGGGCAGGGGCGCTGGTGGTAGGGGCAGGGGCGCAGGTGGTAGGGGCAGGGGCGCTGCTAGGGGCACTGGAGCTAGGGGCGGCGGTGTTGCTGCTGGTGTCAAGGTTGCTGCTGCTGCTGTCAGGTACTACTACAGGACTTTGTAACGAACTGTTATTGGTGTGGCCAGAAACGAACTCAGGAAACGCATCAGGCGAAACTGCGGGTGTAGACGCGGTACTATCCATGGGCACGGTAACCCTAAAGCTGGTAACCAGGGGCGCTGCAGCTGAAGGACGCAGCAACGGCCAGGTTTGGGGCAAGGCGTAGGAGATGAGGCCATGATAAAGAAACAGCAGGCAGAGGAAGATGGCGAATAGTACAAGGAGTGGGCAGTGGGAAAAGTTTTTACTGCCCGAGGCGTCAGCCGACATTGCGACCAATCTGGCAGGATTAGCTGCGATTCGCGTCTTTTGATCCAGCAGCTTTAGACCATCATTTCTACAAAATGTTTCGGGAGTTGAAGGCTGAAATGCCAAGAAAGTGCTGACTCAGCAATTTCTTGCCAAGAACGGCTGAAATGCCAAGAAGCGCTGGAGCTGTTTGCCTCTCGGGGAGGAGGTTCTGTCAGGACGGCGTTCAAAGAAGGCTTTTTCAGAACCTCCTCGAGGCAAACAGCTCCAGCGCTTTCTTTATTCCGCCGCCACTGCAGCTCGGTACCCATCCCCCAGCCGCACCCCACACCCACCAACCCTAGTGCCACCACGCTTGATGCTTGTGCTGTAGCTCAGCCTGAATCGGTCTCGTCAGCTTATCAGCGGCAGCAGCAGCGCGTGGTGACCCGTGGGGACCCCCAAGCACGGGAGCCCGGTCTCTCGTCCCATCTGAATGCCATTGGTCATGCATATGCTGCGAATGTTAGGGTTGGTTCGACGAACCATGAAAGCTACGGCGAGATTCGGTGTGACGGCGGAATGGAAGCGCGTGGGACATTCTAGAGTGAATACGGAGAACAACAGCCTTGCGCAAGAAGAGGCACGGAGATTCTTGCGAACCTCCTGAACGGAACTGATTTCCATCGCCTCGGGCGTTTTGCGGATCCGCGAGCGTTCGTTACCAGTCGCTCGCGAGTCGCTGGGCGAGAGCAAGGCGAGCAACATCCATGCAATGCAGGCCTCTCCCATTTCGTTTCTAATCCCAAGGCAACCTTCGAAGATCAAAGTCAAGAGTTTCGCTCATCAGCAACGAGGTCTGGCCGGCAGGCTAAGTCAGATATGCACTGTGCGGTGACAAGGGATTTTGGCTCGAGAGTGTGTTTATGGCTGGTAGTTTCGCAGAGACGCTGCGCTGCAGAGTAACTTGGCTTCTACTGCTACAAGCTCTTCTTTGCAATTGCATCATCCTACATCCAATGTCCTAATATCATACATTTAGATATTCCCTACTAGAAATGACAGCAAACTGGTGGCTTGTGCATCATGCTAATGATAATATTGTGCATAGTCCTGTTCAGCATAGTACTTCTCATGCTTCTGGGTGAAGTTGTCTTAGCAGGGCTTGCTTGCCATAATACGGTATTGTCAAGAAGCTAGGCTAGGTTAGGAACCTAGGAGAGTGGCGAGAGAGTGGAATGTCGAGAAAGGAGAGGGTTCACTATAGGCTCGAGGGTACAAATAGGAGACAAAGGAGGTGCACCACCAATACAAAGAGTTTATAACTACACTAAAGCTACAGCTACAGGCAGGTACATAAATATATATAAATTATATATTCTAACACTCCCCCATAACTGCCTGCAGCAGGAGCTTGTGCAGCAACAACTCCTGGATGGGTACACCACGAACAGAGAAAGCAGCAACAGGAGGCAAGTGCAATGACAACCAGTGCAGTGGTGGCAGAGACAGCTGCAGCAAGCCCTGAGGCAAGAAAGAGAGAACAAAAACGATGTGCTGTGGCGCGCTTAGTTTGCAGCTCAACAGCAAAGAAGACGAACGAAGACGATGTGCTGTGGCGCGCTTAGTTTGCAGCTCAACAGCAAAGAAGACGAACGAAGAGAGAGAAGCGTCAGGGGCTGCAGAAGTAGGTGCCACATAGTGTCAAACTATATGTGTTGCATATTGTTTAGGCTGTAGTGGGGTAGCCCATATGGGGTACAACCCAATTAGGGTTTACTACTTGTACTTCTGCATCCTGTTAGTTCACTCATTCCTGCTGCTAGTTTCTAACATGGTTTCAGAGCACTAAGGTCCGTAGGACCGTTTTTTTTTTCGGGCCCACCTACCGCTGCGGTTACCGCGCTACCCCACGTACCTGCCTGCCTTGCCTTGCCTTGTGACGTGCTGCACATGCGCTGCCTCCTGCTGCCCTAGGCCAGCGCGCTGCCCCTAGAGGCCCGTAAGGCCCGCGCGCCGCCTCTACACGCCCGTCAGGCCCGCACACAGCCCCTGCAGACCGTTAAGCACACTGCTGCCGCGCGCTGCCCGCACCGAGTCGCGCGCAGCCCGCTGCAGCCGCGCGCAGCCCGCACCGAGCCGCGCGCAGCCCGCACCGAGCCGCGCGCAGCCCGCTGCAGCCGCGCGCAGCCCGCACCGAGCCGCGCGCAGCTCGCAGCTGCCGCGCGCAGCCCGCGCCGAGCCCACGCAGCCCGCGTCGAGCCGCGCGCGGCCTGCTACGGCCTCGCGAGGCCCGCGCGCGGCCCGCAGCAGCCCGCGCCGAGCCGCGCGCGGCCTGCTACTGCCTCGCACGGCCCGCGCGCGGCCCGCAACAGCCCGCGCCGAGCCGCGCGCGGCCCGCTACTGCCTAGCGCGGCCGCGCGCGGCCTGCATCAGCTTAGCGCGCTGTCAGCGCAGCCCGCGCCGAGCCGCGCGCGGCCCTCTGCCTCGGCCCCGACCTGCCGCTGATGCGGCCCCGCCCTGCAGCTGCCACGGCCCCGACCTGCCGCTGATGCGGCCCCGCCCTGCAGCTGCCACGGCCCCGACCTGCCGCTGATGCGGCCCCGCCCTGCAGCTGCCACGGCCCCGACCTGCCGCTGAAGCGGCCCCGCCCTGCAGCTGCTTCGGCCCTGCTCTGCAGCCGGTGTTGCGGCCCCGACGTCGCCGCTGTCGAGCGCCGGCCCTGCTCGCCCGGTGAGCGCC